CAAGGACTGGTTCATCCTTATCATGTTTCTCATCATCCAGGTAACTAGGAACAAAAATGAAACTGTTGTTTTGACAGAGTTGCTGGATAAACAGATAAGAAAATTAACAAAACCACAGACAATTAAAGACCTCTAATCTCAGATTTCAAATACAGTGTAATGTCTGTAGCATTTTATGGGCCCAGTAGGACAAAGGAATTCCTTGCTGTTTTGAGGCCAGTGATTCAGGTTTAAACTGTGCATGAAGGAAAGGTGCTTAATCTAAACTTTTGCTCTTTTCTCTCAAATTTTGTGAAAAGTTTTGTTCAGGTCTGCAATTTTACTGAAGTATTAAAGTGCTAGAACTACAAAGGTGTGCTGCTAACCAAAACACAGACATAAAACTGACTAGATTTCCTTTCACAGAAGTCAAGTGGTGCAGTTTGCCACTGCTGGAAAATGATGAATAATAAATAAAGCTTGTGATTTAAAAAAAAATAAAATTTGTGATTTAAAAAAGAATAAAATTTGTATATTCTTAGTAGCATTTAAAAAAAATTATGTATTTTTTGACCCAGCAGTCTGTAGCACTAACATGCAAGGAGCAAGCAAAAGACTTACAGATAGAGAGATACACATTTTCTATGCATATATATTTTTTACATATATATATATATATATATACACATTCCCCTATACCAAATAAAAAAAAAGTGGTACTCTAGTTGCTTGGTATTTTGTTTTTTTGTTTTCTTTGTTCATTTTGGTCTGTTTGCGTGTGTCCCCCCAAGACAATTCTTTACCATATGATAAGTAAAGAATGTCTATACTTAAAATAGAAGACATTACGTAAAGTGTAACAAGAAAAAAAAGGTGGAAACACTATCATACAAAGCAAGCTACCTACTGCCATTAGAAAAGTACATAAAAGTATAGTTGAGTAATTGTTAAGAGTTCATTTTTTTAAAACATGAGATGTACGGATCTCAGCAGGGGCTGGCAATGATTCCAGGCCACAATGCTCTGTCATGTAATGAATAACACAGACATCTATGTCAGAAGGCCACATTTCAGAAAGCATTATTACCTACATCACATACATTCTTGTATTTCCATGACTATCTTTCCCTTTTTTGTTCTTTTCAGCACTGCTGTAAAACAAAAAACTGGAAAAGAAACAACTCCGTATTTAAACCACTTCCCTGCAGTTTTCACTCCAGGTCTCTCTGATCAGGCACATCACTTTTGCTGTAACACGCCAACACAAACAATAAAGTAAGAATGGAATTTCTATGACTAGCTCCTCAGTTTTCTTACTTGACTGATACGCTTATTTGACATACTGAGACAGGCCAGCACCACCCCCCTCCCCCATCCCTGGCAGTGTTCAAGGCCAGGTTGGACAGGGCTCTGAGCAACCTGGTCTAGTGGAAGGTGTCCCTGCCCATGTGGCAGGGGGGCTGGAACTAGATCATCTGTAACATCCCTCCCAGTCCAAACCATTCTGCAATTCTGTATCTGCTTTGTCAGACTTCTAGCTGTAACATTATCTGAAACACCTTTTTATTTTGATGGGCAGAAATACTACTATCTTTGAACAAAAAGAACTCCCCCAAATATTAGCGTAAGAATAATGTGTATTATTTTGTCACACAAAGTACACTGTGCATATAATAGCAGCCACAGGCAATAAATCAAATAATTTGCATAATAAGCTTTATTCTATTTCCCACCACATGCAGCTGACACTATTTTCTCATGGTAGGTTTAATTTCCTACTGTTAATTTACTTTCAATTCTACAGATAATCTACAGAAGTTGTGTAGTGAACATTAAGAGCATTTAAAACCTTTTTCATCCTTACCTTGCTACCACAGAGTGAGAAGCAAAAACTAGCAATCTTTCCTATAAATCCTTCAGAATGGCAGAGGGAAAAGCAGAAATATCACGCAAAGAAAATAATTAGAAAAATAACCCCATAAACAAACAACAAAAAATCTGCATCAAAAAAAAAAAACCAAGCCTTACCTTTGTATCGATTATACAATTGTTCTAATTTCTTCTTGTCTACTGAATTTTTCATGGATTCTTTGTAGTACAAGTCTGGGTTCTGGAAGTAGTTGTCTGTTGCCACTTCTAGTTTCCATTCATTCTGCATTAAGCAGTAAATAGCAGTCCTTTCACCAGCCTGGGTAAATGCCATAAACTGGCGGACCTTGTCCTTCTGAGACGATTTAAGCTTATGCTTTGGGATGCAAAAGAAGCAGGAAAGCCAATGAAGCTAATCCAGAAGTTTTGTTTCAGCATTCTACTACTACGGCCTATCTTTAAAAGGTTTTAGTTTTCTTGTTGATGACAACTTTCACTTCAGAATTACAGGAAGACAAAGCCTTGTTCTTCTGCAGTTAAAAAGACAGCATTTTCTTCTGAAAACTGAAATGACAGCATCTATATATACATTTTTAGCAGCACATATTTGGCAGTAATAAATTCATATTTCTGCTTTATTGCTCACATATGCAGAAGTTTTTCTGTTCTGAAACAGCGGTAAACACGAGTTTCACCATGCAACAGTATGGTTACCCTCTGAAAAATATGCCTAGTAGTTATACAAATCAGATTATAAAGGCACAACTTAGAGATTCTCAGATTCTGTGTAACTCCTTCATACACAGAGAAAAACTGCTCAGCAGTTTTCCTAATATTTTTCTAGCAACAATGAACAACACAAAGTTTAATCATTTCAAGTGATCAGCTAAAAAAGGCAGAACCATTTCTTACACTTTTGCAGTAGAAACCACTGCCAACAGAAGACATTAGGCAAAAAGAAAATAAAGCAGACATGTCAGTGATTTGCTGAATGTTATGATGAGACTATAAAGTCACTGTAAATGTGATCTAAAACTTTAATGCTGAAAAAGATGTTTATACTATTAATACATTAAACAACAAAACTACCTGCTACAGTGGTATACAGGAACCAATAAGATGCTTCTCTTAATGGCAGCTAATTGCAGCAACCATACTGACACAACATCACTAAACTTCTGGAGCACTTAAGAGGCAGGAACAGGGATTTTACAGGGAGCAGATCCGTTATTAACAGAGATCAACATTCTTCATATGAAGTTGGAAGGAGGAAATATCTTAAACCAAACTCTGGGTTTTATTATATTCTGACACATCCCATTTTTGTTAAACCATACTTAACACATGTTCTGGGCCAATAATTTAACAGATAAATTTGTCTCATTACTTGTTAAGTCATCAGGTATTACACAAAATTTACTGGTCACTTAAATATGGGGGGGGACGGACAAGACAACACGAATCCTGATTCAGTGAACAGTAAGCAGCAAATGTGGGACCATCTTTCAGTCTACTTGTTATCTCTTGTATACACATGGATGGTGACATCTTGACTACAGATGGTCCTGAGACAAGAAACACATCATGTAAACAAGATAAGGACTTTGGTCTTTTCTATATATTTTTAATTTCATATAAGAAAAACATTTAAAACTTCTTTTTATGCAAGGAGAAGAGTGTGAAGTGGGAAAAGAGCCACAAAAATGTTATCTTGATAGAAAAATATTCAATAATCCCGTGACTGCAAGCTCTATGTAGCCTCTCTCCCCTCCAATATTCATTAGCGTCTAACTATGAGAGTATCTCTGCACTAAGATCTGCCTCAGTTACATAAAATTCTGAGCAGTAAACTAAGCAATGCTCACTTCAGCACAAAGGTCTCGACAGCACCCCCGAATCAAAACCCCACGTCCTCTCCCAAGTGCCCTGAACGCCAGGTATTCAGGGATATTTTCTAGGCTCAAAACACTGACTTATCTGAAGGAATGAGAAGAAACACATTCGACTACCCGATTCGACTACTCTGCCACGTAGTATAGTTTCTACTCTTTGCCTGTGTGCAGTGTCCACCGCAGCAGATACCGGTACCTATACACACTCTATAGGGCGGGGGGTGGGGAGCTTCTCGCTAACGGGACCCAAACAAGGAGGGACACCTCGCACCAAGGCACGCCTAAGTCAGCTTTACAGCCCTCTCAAGACGTTAATCACATCACACCGCAAGCCTGAACGAGACGCCGGAGCGGATACAGCGCAGCCTACTGCGGAGGTGCCGAGAGAACCCTTCCCGGGACGGGACGCAACGCGTCCGCTCGTCCCCTGGTCCCCCTCCCCAAAACACCTCTTCCCCCCTCAAGGTAAGGGAACCAATACCTCTGCACCTTTCCTTCCACCTCCGGCTGCACCTGCCGCGTCCCGGGAAAAGAAGAGGGAAGGACAGGGAAAAGGGGAGATCGGAGGGCCAGGCTCCGCCCGCTGCCGGCAGGCGGGGCGGCGGGAGCGCGGGACACTGAGCTCCGGCAACCTGCCCCGCCGGCCCCAAGCCCAAAAAAGGGAAAGGTACGCGCCGCGCCGGCTGCCGGCGCTCGAAATACCCGCGGCGGCGGCGGCAGCGGGAGCAGCACTGCCCGCCTCCCTTCCTCCTCTCAATTCCGCCCCCCCCCTCCGCCCCCAGTGACCTTCCCCAGTCCCGGCGGCGGGAGGGCCGCTCCGCTCTTATCTGTCTGTCCTCTGTCGCGCCTCACCCCCGGTGTACCCAACCCCGCCTGGCGCCATCCCGCTGCGATAAACGGAGTGGGAGCCGGTGCTGATGGAAGCGGAACGGCAGGAAACCGCGGGGCGCTGGGCTCGCCGGTCCGGAGAGTTGGGGGTGTTGTCTGGGGCTCCCCGTCCCCATTCCCTAATTCCCGTGCCCCCCGCCCCAAACAACGTACCATTTTATCACCGGCGCTTTGACCAACTTCACCGCCCGGCGCCGCCTCCCGCGCAGGCGCGAGGGACCAGGCGCAAAGGCGGAGCGCAGGACGGGGGCGCCCTCCCGCCGCGCCGGTGGAGCCTGCGGCCCTTCCCTGCACCGGGGGACCAGCGGTCGGGGTGTCGGCTGGGCCGCGCTGTGCCTGAGCGGCGAGTGCCGGTGTGCACCGTCTGGAACGCGTCAGGGAAGGGGGAGAATCCACCTTTACGTTTCCCATGACATGCCGCGAGGAGGCGCTCGGACTACAGATCCCGTCTGACGCTGCGCATAAAGGTGCCGCCGCACCGGCTGCGTGGTGACCGGCGCAGGGTGAGGGTTGGCGGCCGGTGTGGGGGTGGGAGAGGCCCCTGGCAAGGCCGGCTTCTCGGCGCCTTGCTGTTACTGGCCGCCGCCCTGCGCTCTTGCTCTTTGCGCGCCCACCTGGCTGCTGCCGGCCTCCCTCCCTCAGGTGAGCGGGGTGGTGGGAGGAAACACGGCCCGGGGCCGGCAGTTGCGCCTCCGTCAGCGTCTCCTTCCCCTGGGCGGCTGGGTCGGCCGCCGCCCTGAGGTGAGCGCTGGGCTGTTGCCGGCGGCGGATAGGGGCTGCGAGGAGGAGACGGAGGAGGAGGAGGTGGATTTGGCCGTGTTGCTGTGAAGCTGGAAAGTTAAGTGCGGGGCAGGCAGACTGCGGAGCGGCTGCTTCTTTCCTTTCCTCCCTCACTCCGCCGCCATGAAGGGGCGGGAAAGGGGTTGGGCGCACTCGCGCTCTCCTCATCTTTCCCTGTTCTTCCCCTTCTCCCCCCAGCCTTCCTCAGGGTGAGGTCCCGGAAGCCGGCCCGGGAAGAGAGGAGGAGAAGGAGGCGGTGGCCCAGGGAGCTGCCCTCCGGCAGCCATCGCTCTCAGGTGGGTGTCTTTGGGGCAGGGGTGCCTTTGGGGCAGAGGTGCCCACGCCTCGGCTGCCCTGAGGGTCCTGAGAAGGAGCTTGGGTGGTGGCAAACGGGCAGGTGGCAAGCGGAGCCGCAAGCTTTTTGGATGAGAGGATCGGGCTTGCGTTGGAGGCAGGGTCTAACATCCGCTTGATGAAATCCGGCGCTACTGTATCGTGTTCAGGAAGGCAAAACCGGGAAGATGAACTGCAATCCATCAGGAAACGCACCGTTCTTGAGAAGGACTCCAAACATCAGGAGTTCCCTCTAATTTGATACTTAGTGATGCATGGAGAAGAGTGTTTTGTCTCTTTTTTTATTATTTTTCCTTCTGGATGATCTTTAAGGTTCCTTCCAAGCTAAGCCATTCTATAGTATTATGACTACTCTGTGAGTATTTTTGAGTTCTGAAATGTATCATATGTTTTTATATATGGGGTTATTATTCCCTTAAGAGCTTTTGAGCACTACCCAGGGTGCCACTTTCCTGAATATTTTTTTGCTAGCCAGGTAAAAAACACTGCTACTGAAACAAAGCGATACCGTGTCAGAACTACGGTGGTAAGTTTGCACAGTGCAACAATGGGCAAATTTAGTACCATCTCTGCTCAGGATTTAGGTACGTGGTTTGCCATACCATGTAATATGTGCAGTAGAGTATTCAACTCCCTGCAGACAGAAACTTGAATACACAGTAAGTGTTTTCTTCACCCTCTTTCTTGCACGAATAACTTGTAATATATTCAGCAGAATCTCTCGCCCAGACGTATTAAACAGGAAGGTTATTATTTTGTATATATGAAGAAATATTTCCTTAAATATCACTTTAGAATTTTGCCAGGTGGTGTGAATTGTTGCTTTTTCCTGGTCTCTTAAAAACAGTAAACCCTATAACTTTATCAAAGTTCTGAAATAGTTCTACTTTATTATTTTATTGAAATTAGCATGATGTATCTATGCTTTTGCTGCTTTAATCATACTTTCAGTTCTTAATTTTAAATGTTTTAGTTCTTCATGTTGTTCAACCCTAGCCCATAGTCAGCTATTGATAACTAAATGCTTTGGCTTGTATTTCATGCATTGAAAATAAATAAACCCATCCACAGACAGTTTTTCTCAGTTCTAACTCAAACAGAGATGGGAGGGTATTTTAAAAATTAAGGTAGTGCATGGCTGTGCTTTGCCATCTTCACTTCCTGTTCTGTATACTGATGGTTAGCTTCAATGCTTGTGATTGCGACTGCTGCTATATTACAGAATCGTAGAATCATAGAATAGTTAGAGTTGGAAAGGACCTTAAGGTCATCTAGTTCCAACCCCCCTGCCATGGGCAAGGACACCGCACACTAAACCATGTCACCCAAGGCCTCATCCAACCTCGTCTTGAACACTGCCAGGGATGGAGCATTCACAAGAATAGGCACATAGCTTCCAGATTATACTATGTCCATGTGATGGTTCCTGATTAAGGCTCTTGGTCCAGAGATGAAGATTGCAGCTAAAGTTTTAGGCAAATACCTGTACTACTGATGATCTACTAACATGTAGTGTGCTGTGCATTTTTAGACTGCTACACTTCAGTGATAAATGTATGCTTTGTACATACATTTATGCATTGTTAAATATAGTTTTGTGATGTGGGGTTGTTTTTTTGTAGGTTTTTGTGTTTGGTTGGTTTGGTTGTTTTTTTGTTTGTTTTTTTTTTTTCCCCAAGAAAATGTAACTTGGTTATTTTACAATAATGTCAGTGTTTTCCTGTAGGCTCTGGGGGAAAGAAATTTGTTCTTAGTTTTGAAATTCTACCCTGCTTGGTGTTAGAAGCAAATACAGCAGTTTAAATATAGATCTTCAAGTAGCTTCTGGGAAATGAACTTATGAATGAATTGATTTTTCTTTTAGTGTTCTTATACCTCTATTTTAAAATCATGAGGATCAATAATTAGCTTTGAAGTAAAATGTCTCAAGGCACTGCAGCCTTTCAGGTGAAAGTCTTTGATCCAGGCTAGTAATGCTTAGAAGTCCAGGAAGTTTTGATGTTATTTCTTTACTGTAGAAATTCCTCCCCTCCTCCCCCCAGTCTAATTTACAATGTAATCTGTTTCAGTTAAGCTTGCTTTCCATTATATTTTGTATAGTTGCCTGTGTTAATGGTTTGGAGGCTATAAAAATAACAAATGATTATGATACAATTCTTTAGGATCAGTGTGAAAAAATGTAAGAGGTAGATAAGAATAATGAGTTCTGGTGCTAGGTTGAAGTATAGCCTGTGGCATTGTGGCTTAATATTTTTATGGCTTTTTTCTCATAAGAAGTGCAGGTGACTACCGTGTGAAATAACTAAGCTTTCCATTCAGTGTTCTTAAGACAAGATGGTATCTAGACAATAGTCAAGGGGAAAATGAAAGTCTACCAATAACCTTGGGCTGTTTCTTGGTTTTGAGAACTGTTAAAAGATTATAGTGTAAGATGCAGTCTTGGGTTTCTTTTCTACATTTGCTTGGCCTAATATCCCAACATTATCATGTTTGATAACTGATCGGTACTGTTTTGCAGCCTGATATGTGTACTGGAGATGCAGAAAGCATGTAGCAGGAAGCTTTGAGCAGTTGTGGATTATCAGTTTCTCCCAACAGCAATAAAAATTGAAGAATGAAGGTGACTGGATTTATTTCCTTATGGACGTTGGTTTTATTGCCTTGTGTCCAGCTAGCAAATCCTGCAGAGCATGAAGATGTAGTAAAGCATGCAATAAAACTGCACCGTGGGAAAGGAGCTGTTATCGCTCAGAGAAAGCAGTGGGTGTTGGAGAGCTGCAGAAAGCTGTCTGGTCTTCTTCGCCAAAAGAACGTTGTTCTTAACAAACTCAAAAATGCCATAAGAGCGGTTGAGAAGGATGCTGGACTATCAGATGAAGAGAAACTTTTTCAGGTTCATACCTTTGAAATCTTCCAAAAGGAGCTAAATGAAAGTGAAAACTCAGTCTTTCAAGCAATCCATGGTCTCCAGAGAGCTCTACAGGGTGATTACAAAGATGTTGTAAATATGAAAGAAAGCAGTAGACAGAGACTGGAAGCCTTGAGAGAAGCTGCAATTAAGGTTAGTTCCCCCATGTTTATTTACTAGAGTACTCACAGTTTTTATTTTATCATGGCACAGTTTCAGTCTCTTTTAATAAAAAAAGAGGCTTTACATAAAACTTGCAATGTTTACTGTTTACAGTGGATTTTGCATTAATTGTTCTCGTTTGTAAAATTGAAAGTAGTTCTGTTGTAGATCTTAAAACTTGCTAGCAGTCAATAGTTCTTATTTGAAAACAAAGATAAACATAATCATAAGACCTATGACAAATATTATGTTAAAGGGAAAGGCATACCAGAAGTGAGTCAGTGCACATAGCATAATTGCACTATAGACAAGCCGGTGGGATTATCAGAGTGGAAATAATGCCATAAATTGGCAAAATACTGTCATTTTCCACTTAATGAGAATTGTTCATTCAAAATACACATTTTAAGCAGAATGACTTCTTGCCTTTTATTTCTATATTCATACAGATATGTGTAAAATGGACATGCAAAATATGAGATGACTAGATTTTTAATCTAAGTATAGCAGTTCTAGCCTAAAAAGTACAGGTCTGAAGAACAGTGCGTTCCAAGAAAAGCACATATGAGTAGCCGTTGAGCACAAGTACTTTATAGAAGATTTGAGTTCTCATGTCAATGCAGACCTGTTAGGGTGTGCAATATCTGCCACTGTCTACTGGACTTTGTAGCACTCAGACTGTGTATTGAAAAGTCTCCCATTGAGAGAAAATGTCGCTTAGTTCATTTGGTATTTAAACTGCTCTGTTTCCTTGCTCTACCTGTCAACCACTGGAGGAATATATTAAGAGTTTTCTTTGGTTTCTGCCTCCTAAAAGAAGAGTCTGCCCTTGCACAAGGGAACAAGAGCAGGGGATGGGGAGTAATTGAGGTATAGAATCACAGAATTGTTTGGGTTGGAAAAGACCTTAAGATCATCTAATTCCAACCCCCCTGACATGCACAGGGACACCTCACACTAGACTAGGTTTCTCAAGGCCCCATCCCACCTGGCCTTGAACACTGCCCGGGATGAAGCAGCCACAACTTCCTTGGGCAACCTGTACCAGTGCCTCACCACCCTCACAGTAAAGAACTTCTGTCCTTGTATCTAACCTGAACTTTCCCTGCTTAAATCTTCCTGTCCTCCCTTGTCCTGTTGCTACAGTCCCTGATGAAGAGTCCATCTCTGGCATCATTGTAAGCCCCCTTCAGATACTGGAAGGCTTCTATAGTATCAGAGCTGGGAGAATCTCTAAAGGACATTTTTTGTAAGAGATGGGCAGATCTTAACAGGTGAAGATGGCAAAAGATTATGTGCAGTGAATTGTGGCAAGAAAGGCTGGTGGAAGTAGAAGTTAGTATGCAGGCTTGGGAGTCTGGAGTGGTCCATGGATTGAAAACAAAGACTGAAGTATGACAAATTTGGAGAGGGAGTAGTTTGGATCTGTGTGTGTTCCAATGAAGTGCTCAATATGCCTTTGATATTGGCACTTAATGTAGTGCCAGCCTGCATAGAAATGGTAGCAATTGTAATGAAATGACTTGATTTTCTTCAGAGTTCTTAAAATAGCAACAGTGAAGCTGTCTAGAATTATCTTTCTCATTTACCTATTTTTTGGCAGCATTACTGTAAAATACTTAAGTAATGTGTCCTTGAACTTGAGAATGGTGCTTCCTCATTTTTCTCATAAAAGGAGGCCTGTGTGTGTAATGATGTGGTTTAGATGTGCGTCCTGTTAAAACTTAACTTCTGTGGGGATGGATTGGGCAGGCTTTTCTGTATTATCATATCAAGATATTTACTTGAATGAGCAATCATTTACACTTCTTATGTCACATGCATGACTATTTAAACAGAATACTTGTTGTTCTAACCTTACAACAGCAATTGTTATATAATGTGAAATGAAGAATAATGGGAAAGGGAAAATGCATGCCAAAAGGATGACAATTACATGGGGTCTGGTTTTGTTCCAGTTTCATTTTACTGAAATGATTACTTTGTTAATGTAGTCATAAGACATCCTTTCAATTTTTTAAACTGTGATTGAATGGAAAATACAAATGACTGTAGGGGGTACTGGACTCTTTATTTCTGTTTAGTTGAAGCATTTGGATTTTTTTAGTGCTGAGAGATGTATGCATGTCTGATGCATTTCCTGCTGGCTCTGTTGCTGGGAAAAGGTATCGCAGAATCATTTGGGGAGGGCAGGGAAGGAAGAAGTGGTGACATTAGCTTCTGCCTTCCTTTGCTCCAGGAACCTGTGTGGAACTTAAGGAAAAAGCAACAAAATCTCACCTGCTTTTTATCAGCTTCTAATTTCTTGGGTGCTTCCTACTTAGACATTAATGAAAAACAAGTCACAAGTAGTGCAAAGATGCATCCTCTTCTAGCTGTGCTTTTTGTCATCTCTCATTAAAGAGCAACAGTGACACCGTGTTCTTAACCAGCATTGCCCCAAAGTCTTACTTCATCTTACTCAATTTTGCTCATGTGTTCCTAGGCATTCCAGTCTCCTGTTCAGTACACAATCCCTATCTGTATTACCTTGCTTAACCGATTGTTTGTATGTTACCTTGTGATCAGATGTCTCCAATCCCAGCATGAGTTGCAGAACAGTGTGCTGTGGTGCACTTCTGCTTAACACGCAGCAGGCTGTTTGAGCTAGCTTGTCCTTTTTATAGACACTGTAGGTGAAAACAGAGATGCCATTTTAATAGACTACAAAGACCTTGGTCTTCATTAATTAAAGGAACTTAAACTCAGATTTTTTTGAGGCTCTTCTACCTTGCTCTCCAGAGAAAGTTAACTTCTTGCAAATTAGAGCATTGTTTTTTTTGCAGTTCTTTATTTCTCTAGCTCTGTTCAGCCTGTTTGTCTCAGCTGACAGAAAGGACTGATCATCTCCTTCCACCCCAAATCTGTTCCATTTTTGAGGGGAAAGAATCTAATCCTCACCATTTCCATCTGGTGTTCTAAGTTGTTGTTGACTGAGGAAAGACTCTGAAGCTCATATGGGGGCTGTTTTTTACATCTTTGAAGCAATGTCTGCTAGCAGAGAATGACAGATAGGAAATGTTTTTCCTTGAGGCTGTATGAGAGTGACTGTGTCTCTTGCTCATGTGTTGCATAAGAACTAAAGCAATTGACATTGGGCCAAGCACATTAATAGTTACGTTTTTCCCAACTTCAGTTATTTTGAGAACTGGATAATTTCCATCATGCCAGTGTAACTATGGTAATTCTAAACACCAACAGACAGCAATACTGCAGTTTCATCACAACCAAAGATATTCATCTGACTGTCCAGATTTCAGAAGGGCTAAGCCACAGTTACAGGCTGCACTGAATATACTCTTGTCTTAGCATCAAGGAATTAATGACATTATATGCATGTTCTTGCAGGTTTCAAGGGGAAAAATGTTCATCCGCAAACATGCGGAGGACGGAACACTCCAGTTATTAAACATAGGAATTTGGGACCATTTTAGATGCCCAGGTTATCGAAGGTATGTGTGTGTGGTAGGCAGATAAAACACACAACCTAAGGGAGACCTATATTCTGTCTGATAGTTCTAACTGGGTATGGCGGAGCATCCAAAATAGGGACAGAAACTTATGTTTTCCAGGAATTCAGGCTGACCTAGAGATTGCTTGTATTTTTTGCCCAATCTTTTTTTTCCCTTGGTAGTAATACTGGCTCTTTGAAGAACAGATGTAGCGTGTCTCTCATGTAAATATTCTCTGTATCCTGAATCTAATGGAAAGGAAAGCCTGCCGTTGCGTATATTTCCTCATTCATAGTTGTTCTTGCTCTCAACCAATGTATCTTTAAAATAATGTAGATATGTAAAGTGAAGCTCCACCCCCTCCAGTCCCTTGTCCATCCCAAACCTGAAATTATACCCTGTCAGTACACAAAGTATTTTGTTTGGTTATTGTCTTCTTAACCATGTTAAGTCCAGTCTTGATCAGTAAATATTTTTTAGTTCTTTTTTTGAACCTGAAATATCCAAAGGGAAATGAAATACCATAATTTTTATCAGGGAAGCTACTGAAATATTTTCATGCCATGTTGAACCACATCAGTATTTTTTTTTCTTCAGAAACCTAGAAGTGGATGTTAGAAGTCATTGGTGCAAGTTCACAAGAGGCTCAAACTGAAAAAATGGACAAAGTATTTTAGTTTTGATAGCAAAAATCCTTCTTGGAAACAAAAGGGAACCTCAGCCTGCGTGCTTGACTGCTCGTCTGTACTCTTCTGTTTTTATTTTTTTTCCTAGCCGTTTCCACAGTTATTGTAATTTCAGAAAACCATAAACAGACCTCTTCCCATGTTTGCAAAACAGCTTCTAAAATTAAGAGTCACTGTTTTCCTTCCAATTTGTTTGTTTGTTGTAGCCAGTAAAGCTATGCTTTCAAGGTTATCATGCTTCCCTGCTAAAGCACTGACCTCTAAACTTTACTTGGCTCTGAAATGTTTCCTAGAGTTCCTCAAAGTAATTCTTTTCTTGTGTTTTCTGGATTGTAACCTTGGGGCAGCTCTGTAGTTTAATGGATTAGAAAACTCAATGGGTGGGTATTTTGTTTGACCATCACTTTTCTTGCTCACTTCCCCCAGTGAAAACTGGCAAACCAGAAAGCAGTCTTCAAATATGATTATAAAGTCTACATTGCTTTTGCAGCAACACTTGTAGGATGTTTTGTGTCAAAAGAAGCATGCATTCATGTCAGATGTTTTTCTGCTCAAATGCCTGGCCAGCACTTCATCTGTGTATTGTAAAATTCAACAGGAGGAAATGGAATACGTCGAGCTCTTAGCGGCAGAAAAACATCAGGTTGAAGCCCTTAAGAACATACAACATCAAAACAAAAGCCTGTCAATGCTTGATGAAATTCTAGAAGATGTCAGGAAGGCAGCTGATAGATTGGAAGAAGAGATAGAAGAGCATGCCTTTGACGACAACAAATCTGTAAGTGAGATTTAAGACTCAGTCTTTTGGTTAATGTGCATTTATTCTTTAGTTTATATTTGTATTGTAGATGTGTTTCTCTTGTGTTAAATAGTTGTTAGGATTTTAGTGACAAATTTTAAATTTGACTCTACATTTGTTTTTGCTTCCCCCTTCGACAAAAGAAAGTATTTAGAATGGTAGAATGGTTGCTTTTTAGGAGTGAGCTAACGCTTTTAAAACTCCTAAACACTCCTAGTGAGCAAAACCTACTTTTTGCTACTGTTTTCTGTGGTTTTGATTTGAAAGTCATCCCTGTGACTAACACTTTGACAGTGACAAATGTAATCTGTCTCACTGATACAGCCCATTAGAGTTACAACACCTCAGTGATGGTGGTGATATTTAGAAGTTGCAGGATATGGAGTTACAGTGTTAAGTGTAGTCTCTACTTTTTTGTTTTTCATTTTGTTGAGAAAGTTATGGGAGAACAAGAATCCTTGCAGTTAGTTTGTGCAGTCTGGGAAAAGATGTATTATTCAAGGTAAGTACCTGCAATGTGTTTTTGGCCTTGCTTTTTTTCTCACTTCCGTGGCTTTTTATACCTTGGCCTATTTGCATTGTTAATTGTTTGTGTTGCATGACAGACAGTATCCCTCAGGTAAGGCAGTGTGTATTTGGAGCTGGGAATATGTCAGTTTATTCTACTGTCCCATTGTGCTGTCCTCAGGGACTGACTCTCTGAATTGGTCCTTGTTTGCATATATGTGGATTACAATTTTGTTTGGCTTTTGCTCTTGAAAGGTTTTTATTGATGCAGGTTGACTTCCAAGATGAGCATAGCTCTTGAGCTCTTCTTAGGAGGCAAAGCTGAGTATCTCTCCGTAGAGAGCAAGACCATTTTTTGTGCTTTTATTGCAAGAAAGTGAAAGCAGCTTTTTATTTTGTATCCACCAGACCGCAGCAATTGCCCTCAGTAGGAATACTATCTAATAGGACCAACTGTGGGAAAGGGACGACCTGGCTGGAGTGCCCTCTTCTGTGCCGCCGGGGTATAACGGCACGTTTTAAAGAGATCAGGAATGAGGTTTCCTCTGCTACATCTGCTAACTGGAAAAATGCCAACTCATCCTTTTTCTCGAGTGTACCTCTTTATCTTTCGGCTTGTATCTCTATTCATGAAAGAAGAGGAATTGTGAAATGCAACCTGGAGGACTACCTACATCTCAGTCTTTGCAAGAAACAGCTAGTGTGCTTTCTTTTAAGCTAGAACACTAGAAGTTCTAATAAAATAATAAGCAATATAATCAAATAGAGAAGTGCAGTAGGTAGAAATTAGGACAAAAAAATCTGAGTTAACCTACAGTGCAAGACGGGAGCATTTGTGCATTGTGTTCTGCTATGTACAACCTGCTTTTTGGAGTTGCTATTTTGAGAGAGAATCAGGATTTTATTTCCCATTATGTCCTCAAATTTCTTAGTATTTAAGAGCTATGAACCTGTGCCATCTACTCTTGCTCTTCTAGCATAGTCTCTTTTTTCAATTCCCTTTGCTTTTGTAAAAGTAAATATGCACTGTAATGTATTTATATATATTACACAGACAAAAGTGTTTTTCATAATTGTCTTAATCTTACAAACACTTTTCCTTTTTTCCTTATATTGTTTCTGACCTCCAACTAGACTGTGAACTCAACTACATGAGAAATGTATTTATCCAATTGCATTGCTTTCATATGATATTTGGTATATTTTGAATTTTGATTCAGAGAATCATAGAATAGTTAGGGTTGGAAAGGACCTTAATGATCATCTAGTTCCAACCCACCTGCCATGGGCAGGGACACCTCACACTAACTCATGCCACCCAAGGCTCTGTTCAATGGGGCTGTGTTTGCACTGTTTACGCTATGTAACAAACGCAGAAGAGATTTCTTGAACTCTCCTTTCCAAGAAGACCTCACCATAAGCAGTGTAGTCGCAAATGCCAATTGGTGTATTGATAAGGAATGGTGAGGAAATGCTGTATGCTCTCTATGTTTCTGCAAAGTTCATGCAGAGGGAACCCAAACCCCTTGACTTTCGCCTCTGGGATTGCCACAGTCAAATGACTGTACATGGTATAAAAGCCTTTATGGATACAGTCTGAACACAGATTTATTTGCATGGACACCCCCCAGCAATGCCCAGTGTGTGGCCACCATGGGCAGGGACATCCCCCTGGGCTTCCTGGGCACAGGCACTGCCTCAGGGCCAGGAGCCCAAAGGCTTTTCTCCAAGGGATGCTGGGTGAAGGGGCCACAGCAGGGCTGCGGTGGGTGGGGGTGTAGGCGCCCTGTCGCCCCTGTGTCATAGTGCCAGCACTTGGCAACGCAGCATCACAATGCTCTGGGGCAGTATAAGGCAGTGTCGTCCTGTGTCCCACTGCAGGAGTGCCCGGCAGTGCTACCAGGACAGGGCTGGCAGCCTGAGGGCATCCGAGAGGAAGTCCTGGGGGAATTACTGGGAGGGGGTTAGTGGGAGGAGCACTTGAAGCTGCACGAAGCAGCAGGAGGTTCTCTACTGCAGTTCCAGCTCCTGGAGGGGCCATGCTCAAATCTCTTCAGATGGATGGAAATCCCGCTTCAGCTGCCGGGGGACCTGCCATCCTCATCTGCTGGGCACTGGGGAATTGCCTGTGGGGGTGCTGAAGGAGGGAACACCTGGAGCTGTGGGAGGTTCTGTGCTGCAGTTCCAGCTCCTGGAGGGGCCATGCTCAAAGCATCATCGAGGGGTCCTGCCTCAGTCATCAGGAAGCTCACCGTCCTCATCTCCTGGGGAGAGAATGGCAGCAGCCAGAAGATGAAGGACGCACAGGTGGCTCAGTGCCCTCTCCCAGTGCACTCGAGCTCCCACTGCCAAGCACAGGAAGGATTCTTGCTCTGAGGATTCATCAGGCCAATGGCATTTTGCTGTTGTTGGAAGCCCCTGAGATGGTTCCAGGTGGAAGCAGAAAAGGCAATGCCAGTGTCCCCTTGTCCCCTTAGAGGTGTAACCAGTGTGTGGACCAGGAGCATGTCTTGCTCATGCTCAGGGAGTAGCCGATTGCCAGCACTGGGGTCAGGAGGGAATTTTCCCCTGGGGCAGATTGGCACTGGTCCCCCGGGGTTTTTTGCCTTCCTCTGAGCCTGACCACTGTCAGGGCTCCTCGGATCCATTCTGGCTGTTATCGCCTGGTGCTCATGCTCCATGAAGGTGGCCCCTTGTGTCCTGCAGCTGGGGGGGAAGGGCTTTTTTCCCCCCAGGCTGGACTAGCTAGCATCCCTGGGGTTTTTTGCCTTCCTCTGCAGCTGAGCACAGCCCCTTCATGGGGCTCCTTTGGATCATGGTGTCCCAAAGGCAGGGGCTCGTGCCCCGCATCCAGGGGGAGGCAGCCTTCTGGATGCCCAGGGTGGTCCCAGCGTGGCCCTGGGACTTGCTGCTGTCCTCTAGAGTATTGAGCACCACCCCTTGTCAGGTCTTCCCTGGCCCTTTCTGGCTGGGTTCTTCTTGCACTGCTCTCCCACCACGACACTGCTCCTGCCCTGGCTTTACTTTGTCAGGCTGCAAGGGAGGTTTTTTTCTAGCTAAACTGAAGGGTCTAAACTAAAACAGACTAAAATTACCTAAGCTAAACTAAATCAAATAACTTCATTTAGAAAAAAATAAAATACTCTTTCCACCTGTAACCGTTCTCATTTGTGTCTTTGAAAGTGCTTTTTGCTGCTGAAATTCCCTTGGCATTTCAGATAAGGATCTCCTCCTTGTACAACTCATTGTGAGAGCAGGGAATGGAGCAGAATAAAATGCAATGGAACAGGACAGAATACAACAGAAAGCTATGCTATGTTATGCATATAGAATCATAGAATAGTTAGGGTTGGAAAGGACCTTAAGATCATCTAGTTCCAACCTCCCTGCCATGGGCAGGGACACTTCGCACTAAACCATCTCATCCAAGGCTCTGTCCAGCCTGGCCTTGAACACCACCTCGGATGGAGCATTTACAACTTCCCTGGGCAACCCATTCCAGTGCCTCACCACCCTTACAGTAAAGAACTTCTTCCTTATATCCAATCTAAACTTCCCCTGTTTAAGGTTTCACCCTTTACCCCTTGTCCTGTCACTCCAGTCCCTAATGAAGAGTCCCTCCCCAGCATCCCTATAGGCCCCCTTCAGATACTGGAAGGCTGCTATGAGGTCTCCACGCAGCCTTCTCTTCTTCAGGCTGAACAGCCCCCACTTTCTCAGCCTCTCTTTGTAAGGGAGGTGCTCCAGTCCCCTGATCATCGTCATGGCCCTCCTCTGGGCTTGTTCCAACAGTTACTTGTCCTTTTTTATGTTGAGGACACCAGAACTGTACGCAATACTCCAAGTGAGGTCTCATGAGAGCAGAGAAGTTTGATTACATTCCAGCCACACAAGCTCCTAAGTACAAAGGAACATACAACAAGCTCCTTATGAATTTGGAGTTCCAGAGCTTCAAAGTAGATGTTTCTCTGCTGATGTAGTTTATAAGATACTTGTGTTTAGTGAACACTGTTGCTGATGTTGTAACATTAAATTCCCAAGAAGATACTAGAACAGATTTTGGCTTACCAGCCTTTTGGTTTTAGGCAAACTAATAGTCCTCTGCAAGATGGGAACACTGCACTGAACAGTGAAGTAATTCCAGTGTGAAAGTGAAAAGTATGTTTTGTGTTGCAGAGCCAACATTTAATAGTAACCTCTGAGCTCTCTTTTAGTATCCCTGGAGTAGCAGTAAGGGTGTGATACAGGGAGTCAGAAGCAAGGATGACAGAAAAATTGTAGGATTGGATACTTACTGTGTATTCTGGTTAGAAACAGTTCTTCGTGTTTGCTGACTGTAGGGAAGCCTTTCTTCTTTGCTCCAATACTGTGACAGTAGTTTGCATGTGCATGGCATGCAGCTGCTCCTGCCTTTTCCCATCAGCTGAAAATGTAAAAACATGGTTTGGTCTCATAGACTTGGCAATGGACACTTCATTCTGCAATGCAAAATAGCCTGGTAAGTGGGGAGCTTAGGGAGGTAAAGGCACTATATATATTTATCTAAAAAGATAGGTTTGGTTTAAAAAAGGATGAAAAGACAACTTTCATAATGCATGAAAATGGTAATCAGCCTCTCACTTCAACAGCTGAAATGCTGGTGTTTGAAGGAGCTATTTATGCTTCTGAATCATAGAATCATAGAATAGTTAGGGTTGGAAAGGACCTTAAGATCATCTAGTTCCATCCCCCCTGCCATGGGTAGGGACACCTAACACTAAACCATCTCACCCAAGCCTCTATCCAGCCTGGCCTTGAACACCGCCAGGGATGGACCTTTCACAGCTTCCCTGGGCAACCCATTCCAGTGCCTCACCACCCTAACAGGAAAGAATTTCCTCATATCCAATCTAAACTTCCCCTGCCGAAGTTTTAACTGGTTACCCCTTGTCCTATCACTACAGTCTCTAATGAAGAGTCCCTCCCCAGCATCCTTATAGTCCCACTTTGGATACTGGAAGGCTGCTTTGAGGTCTCCATGCAGCCTTCTCCAGGCTGAACAGCCCCAACTTTCTCAGCCTATCTTCATATGGGAGGTGCTCCAGCCCTCTGATCATCTTTGTGGCCCTCCTCTGGACTTTTTCCAACAGTTCCATGTCCTTTTTATGTTGAGGACACCAGAACTGTACACAATACTCCAGGTGAGGTCTCATGAGAGCAGAGTAGAGGGGCAGGATCACCTCCTATGACCTGCTGGTCATGCTCCTTTTGATGCAGCCCAGGATACGGTTGGCTTTCTGGACTGCTAATGCATGTCATATTGCATGATGTACAAAAACAGGGGAAGAGGTCATTCCCATGATAAAAGTTTTCCTTTAATTATATACATACACAAAAATGTAAGGATAGAAGAAAAGGGTAAAAATTGCAGGTTAAATGTTGAAAATGCAGTATTTATTTGAACAATTAGGGGAAATGTGCTGGGGAATCAGTAAAGGAAAACAGAAGCCTGTTTTATAGATGTCTTATGTGAATGCACTTTGTCATTAAATTGGGGAGCTGCTTGGGCAAAATACAGCAATCCAGAAACATTGAGTGTTTTGTAGTCAGTCACAGCAATGACAGCAACCCACTCTCTTTACTGGAGTCTAAGAGAAATAACAGCCTTAAGTGTTTCTGAATATTTGTAAAATCTACCTTATTAAAAATACAGTGAATAATGAAGTCATCCTAGTGTATTCCACTTGTAATTACAAGCAGTGAAGACAGACCTAGATAAAATCTTCTTATTCTCTTCTTAAAATTTACAGGACAGTGACTTTTTCTCGACTTGGAACACAGTCAATTCAAATTTTTGTGAACTGAATATCACTTTGTAATCTCATTGTAACATTTTATTCTCTTGAACAAAATCATTTTTTAAGCAAACCTTTTGTGTTCTAAATGTGTTAAAGCACTAAAAATAAAACAACCCCAAAGCAACCCCACAAACATTTTAGGTTGGATGCAATTGGAAATCCTGGTTTGCAATTTTACAGCTGTGAAATCCTGTCTTTGCAGTTTTTGGTTGGACAACTTGGCTAAAGAGGTCTGGAAAAACTTTTGGTTTTAAAATGTAAACCAAATTATAACCTTTTCTGTTATGGGCATCAAGTTTTGATAAAGTGACTGAAAGAATTCTCTAAGAAGAAACTACAGTATTTCTAGTTGGTGTCAGCAAGTTCTAGAGCAACTTAAGCACAGCTAATAATCTTTCCCTTTTTACTGTATACTTTGTTGACAGTCCCCCTTGTTGCTCCCCATTTCTTTTTCTTACAGGTAAGAGGTGTAAACTTTGAAGCAGTTTTAAGGGTGGAAGAAGATGAAGCCAACTCCAAAAGCAATACTTCAAAAAGAGAAGTAGAGGATGATTTAGGGCTTAGCATGCTTATTGATTCCCAGAACAATCAGTATATTCTTACCAAGCCCAGAGATTCAACCATTCCTCGTGCTGATCATCATTTCATAAAGGTAATAATTTTAGAGACATTCTTGTCATTCATTTTGGTAAGATTTAGTCCCACTAGTTTGATGCCAGTACTGCTTGGTTGGATTGAATACAGTTTTAGCATTTTTTTCCCCTCTAAAGTTATCCTAACATTCATGATTCCCCGGTCTACTGGTGATCTGGCCAGTGCGTTCCCTACTTCTAGTACAGTCTCCTCAAGACTCATAGTAATGCTGCATGAATCGTTTCTGGGTTTATTTGGTTTAACTTGTTGCACCTTTGGGGCACCATCCCTCTTACTGGACTGCAGTATTAAAACAAGCTACTGCTGTGCCTGATAAGCTGCTTCCATGTTGTCACTAGAAAGAATTTACCTCTTAATGCCTTGCATGGAAGAAAAGGGATGCAGGAAGCTGCATGGACATGGGTTTTTGTGGTATTTGTGCTTCATAAAGAATAACTTTATTTGGATTTTTTTTTTTTTTAATTCAAACCAAAATGGATGTTTCACCATTTTATTTTAATGCAAAGTGGCTTTCCCCCCACAATTCCCTAGGAAACTCTATACTTTCTCTAATGTATTTAAAATACTTAGTAATTGATAATAAACCCCAAAGCTACCAGTTACTGAAGGTCAGTACCTCTGATGCTTCATCTGCAAAACCGCAGTGTTTACACCTACAGCAAAGTGTTCAGGTTAGTTTACTAAAGTTGTGTTTTCTTCTCACGGGCAGTATTCTATGTTTAATTTTACAGTGCTATTTATCCTTTGAAATAAAAGGGTAAAAAACCCCACTTTAATTTCATCACAGATTTGTGTTTTATATTAATGCATTTGTAAATCTTGCATATTTAGGATATTGTGACAATAGGAATGTTGTCTTTGCCATGTGGCTGGCTGTGCACAACAATAGGACTGCCAACCATGTTTGGGTATATCATCTGTGGAGTACTCCTGGGACCATCAGGACTAAATAGTATAAAGGTAAGTATGCAAGTAGCTTCTTGAGTGATTTCATTTGTTGAAATCTTTAAAAGTAGATTTAAAAGAATATGATATTGCCAAACTCAGATGTATTTAAAACAAATCCCCAAACCTGGACCTTTGTAAAAGGAGGCCTTAAAACTTAAAGGTCTTCAAATCACTTTTTGTTTTCAATTTTTTCTCTTAACATAATCATGACATAAGTAGTTGTTGAAAGTGAAAGCTGTAGGTTATGTGTTGTGGGGTTTTCTTGTTTGTTTTCTTTTTGTCTTTAATCATAAAGCATCACATCTAAGAGCCAAATTATTTAAATATTTAAATTATTTAAATATTTAACACATTAAAGTGTTAGCAGTGGAGGAAGTGTTTAAAACAAGTAATTCCCTGAGTAGGATAGCTTGGCTTCCTAGAGTGTTACTTTGCATCTCTGTATCTCTTTCATCCTTAGTCACCTTAGTTCTTTGCCTGTCCCCTGCTCACATTCCTGAAGTCTCATGAACCTTTTTAGCTCTGTCACGTGTACCCTGATTACAAACTCATGTGAAGCAGTGGGCTGTGGTTGGTGAGACATTGCACATGTTTTGATTAGTGGTCTGGTGTGCATTAACAGATTTTTAAGCCAGCAGGCAAAACAACACGTTAAGGTCGCGTGGTAATGTCTGGTTAAGTTATACGTGTCTTAAAAATGTTGAATGTCAGAGGAACTTAGGGGGCAGCCAGATGCTAATCTGGCAGGGAAGATAGTTTCCATCTCCACTTTTTTTATTGATGATGGATCCTGTCCTCTTCTGCTCTGGACTGTAAATACATTGAAAAGAAGTGTTAGGGTTTTAAAATAGAATAGACTATTTCAGTTGGAAGGGATATGCAGTGATCATCTAGCCCAACTTCCTCAACAACTCAGGGCTGACCAAAAGTTAAAGCATGCAAAGGGCATTGTCCAGATGCCTCTTAAACACTGCCAGGCTTGGCATACTGACTGCCTTTCTAGGAAGCCTGTTCCAGGGGCTTTGACCACCCTCTCAGTAAAGAAGTGCTTCCTCATGTCCAGTCTGAACCTCCCTTGGTGCAGTTCTGAGCCATTTTCACAAGTCTTTTTATTGGATCCTAGGAAAAGAGCTTGGTACCTTCCTTTGCACATCTCCTCCAGAAGCTGTGGAGAGTAGGGAAGTCACCCATCAGCCTCCTTTTCTCCAAACTAGACAAACCCAGAGTCCTCGTCTGCTCCTCACAGGACATTCCTTCCAGCCCTTTCACCAGCTGTGTTGCCCACTTCTGAACACATTCAAGGACCTTCACCTCTTCCTTCAACGGGGGGACTCTGAACTGCCCACAGTACCCAAGAAGAGGCTGCACCAACACTGAATACAGCAGGATAATTACCTCTTTTGACCAGCTGGTCATGCTGTGTTTGATGCACCTCAGGATGTGGTTTGCCCCCCTGGCTGCCGGGGCACCCTGCTGATCATACTGAGCTTGCTGTCTACCAGCACCCCCAGATCTTCTGCTGCAGGGTTGCTCTCCAGCCACCCCTCTCACAGCTTATACTTCTTCCTGGCACTGCTTCGTTCTAGGTGCAGAGTCCAGCATTTGAACTTGTTAAATTTCCTCTTGTTAATCATTGCCCAATGCTCCAATCTATCTAGATCTCCTGTCCCTCAAGAGAGTCAACAGCATCTTCCAGTTTGGTATTATCAAACTTGCTAACGGTGCACTCAACTCCTGCATCCAGATCATTGCTAAATATATTAAACAGGACTGGCCCAAGAATTGAACCCTGAGGAACACCACTGGTCTGGTTGCTAGCCAGATGCAGCCCCATTTTTCTGTTGTGAAGAGGAAGACAACCACTTTTCTTGCTGTTGCACCCTTTTTGCTGAAGTGCAAAGGCTGGTAGTTGTACTGGTCTGAGAGACTTATGCATGGAGTCTCTAGGATGAATAGCAGAACGGCAGCTACAGTCTAGCAGAATGATTATACCAATAGACTAATAAAGTAACTTCTGGAATGCAAACACTGGGGGTTAAACAGTATATGCATGAACTGTAACCTATTTATTTTCACCAAGCAAGCAAGCTTACCTGGATCAATGTATGTGCATTTAGGGTGACTAGCACTATCCAACCAAATTAACTAGTAGCAGCCAGGTGTTGGGGGAAAAATGTTTGAACCCTAAAGATGTTGAGGGGACTTCTGATGTCACATAACCAGCAACTGAACTAACAATGGATATAGAATAAAGTATTTGTTTTATAAATGGACTTAAAATTTGTATTACAAGTAGACTGCTGTGCACTGATTTTTTTGTTGTTGTTGTTTTTTTGTTATTTAAGTCTATTGTACAGGTGGAGACATTAGGAGAGTTCGGTGTATTCTTCACTCTCTTTCTAGTTGGTCTGGAGTTTTCTCCTGAAAGATTAAGAAAGGTATTTTTGTATAATACCTCCGTATTACAGGATTTAATTGCTACTATTCAAGTTGTCAAGTTATCTTTCAGGATTTTACACTCTCCCTATAATATACTGGTGTTCTTTTGCACATTTTTGAAAAGACAAATATGGTTCTTGCTTCTGCTCTTTGACTCTTTGGAAAGAACAGAACACATTATTTGTTCAGTGTCTTCAAAAAAACCTCTTTGCTATTTCTCTTCATTTAGTAAAATGGTTTTTGATTACTAGAAAAATCTTACACAATTTATAGCAATCCATTTCTGCTTTGTTTTAGCATGCAGTTGCTGTTATGGAATATCCAGTGACGTTTGCCTGTCCTGTTGTAAAAAAAATTCAGTCAAGTACTGCATTTTGATTTAATGATACATGCTGTACTGGCTGATAAACTGATTCTGCAAGTGCGTTAGCACAGTCTGGAATATTACATGATGTGGCCATCAGGATTCAGCAAAAAGTTACAATTTTCTTTTGGTCTTAATTAAAAAGTTATCTCATAAACGACCTAGATTTTAATAATGCAAAATACGTGAAGACTGTATGTATTGTAAAGAGTTTTGTTGCATCATGTGACTTGTTCCTAAACTGATGGTTGTGAGTTCATAAAAGCTTTAATTGAAGAGTGTTAAAATTTAATCAGCTTGATCTGTTTCTAGTCCATCTAAAGTTGTCCTGAGTTTAGCAGTAGCAGTCAATTTTTCTCCTTCTTGGTAGCTGGTGCAGCACTGTGTTTTGACTTCCAGCCTGGGAACAGTGCTGATAATACTGATGTAATTTGAGGGTTCCTAAACTTTAGTATGTAAATTGCTACCTGGGAATTATATGCACACTAGTGTGAAGTGGGCTGCTGGTACTGTTGATGGTCTTTGCTGTTGCCTTTTTTTCCCCACCCTGGAATCACATCAAGTAACTTGCTTTCCATTTGATGATTTCAATACATTTGAACCCATACTGGACCTTTGGCCTTTAATTTGTCTGTGAGCTCTGGAAAACTTACCTAATTTCTGGTTATGAGTCTTCTGGTTCATTAGTGTATCTATGAGGCACAGTAACTAATAACTGAAGTTACTATGCCTCGTAGATAGGATGACAGCCTGTTACTTCTGTGGCCCAGCACTGCAGCCCCAAATCACTGCTTATTTGCGCTGAAAATCACTGTAACTTATCAGTGTGAAAAGTGTGATCAGTCTTTCTTATAAGAACTTGTTTTTTTCCCAAGGTATGGAAAATATCTTTGCAAGGACCCTGCTATATGACGGTTTTGATGATTGCCTTTGGTCTGCTATGGGGACATCTGCTCCAAATTAGACCAACACAAAGTGTCTTCATTTCCACTTGTTTATCTTTATCAAGCACTCCATTGGTGTCAAGATTTCTTGCAGGTAGTGTTCGAGGTGATAAAGAAGGTAGGTATAATGTTAAATAGGGACTGTTGTAGTGTAATATTATGAGAAACTGGTTAAAAATGAAACAAAACAAAAACCACTGTTAGGTCTGGTTTACAAGTGATAGTGATTGTCGTCCTTTAACACTGACCAGTGTTGTGTATTTTTTTTTTATGAGGTGTCATCTTTGGAGAAAGATAGTGTGGCCCAATTAGTACTCTCCATTTTAAGATTTGACTTGATTAGGGGTTTCATGGATTCCTTATGCTTTTTAAGAGCATGGTAACCTGTCTGTCATCAGATCAGGGCAGAAAGGCTAACTGAAATAATTCACATCCTTCTTCAGCAAACTAAGACCAGTGCAGGGAATCTTTCATAGCGAACAGCTCTTCAGAGAAGTACCTTTAAGTGCCATATTGCTAGCTTCTCAAGGACTTCTAATTGTTTCTTTCAACAGTTTTGCCATCCTGCTTTCTTCCATGTAAACCTCCCTAACAGATACTGCATTGAAGTTCTTCCCACCCCTTAGAATATTTGTATTCTAATGCCTAGATGCAAAGTGTATACTTTATGCATGCTGGGTCTTACATGTGTCTGTTAGTCTAAAGATTGTATATTTTCATGAAAGGAGTCCCAGTAAATGAATAGCTAGTGCTTAACTGCTAAGCAAAGTCTATACTTTTATTGTGTAACACAAGCTTCCCATTAATATATTTCATTATTCTTTATAATATTTTAATGTCTTTACAAATATTTTCTTTCTAAATGTTTTAAACAATTTACTGGGGGGGGGGGAGCCAAACAGAATGCTTTGAATTATATCAACCCATTGAGAACTACACTTAGCCTCCATTTGATTAAGCTATTTCTAAGTTTCTGAGCACTGCAAGCATGCATAGATTCTGATGACTGTTTCCATGACTGCTTTGCTGGTGTACAGGGGATATTGACTACAGCAGCGTACTACTTGGAATGTTGGTGATGCAGGATGTGCAGCTTGGTTTATTTATAGCTGTCATGCCTACACTTATTCAAGTAGGAGTGAGCACATATTCCAGGTAAAACAAAAAAATACTGTATGTATCTTCCCCCCACCCCTTCCAGTGAGTATGTAGATTGCCAATATGAATAAGTGCTACAGTTAATGTCAGTTTCATGAAAAATATGCACTCTGTTCTACAAGTTCCCTTTACTATTTGTACTTGTCATGTTGCATGAGGATATTCTTTCTGCTTTAGCTGCCTTAGTCCTGTCTAGTACTTGAAATCTGTAGTGAAAAGTTTGTTATTGTAAAAAAATAATTTCTTCAGTTACTTTACTGCCTTAAGACATATTTTTGTCAAAGACTATGCAGTACTGTTATTGAGCCTGATAGCTTACCTTGATGATCAGTCAACAAAAAAAAGTAAATTCTGGGCTGTAAAAGAGGTTGCTGGGCACTTGGCAGATTTAGTCTTCATCTTGTTTACTAATGTATCCAAATACCTTGCTGTACCTACTCAGTTTTGAACATCTGTGGAATTAGATCTTTTCACTTAAGGGGAATTGATTGGGAGGCATGAGAGCACTTGAAAGAAATGTTTTGTTTGTTCTTCTCTTCCAGCATTTTCAAGGAAGTACTGAGAATACTGATACTGATTGGCCAAATTCTCTTTTCTCTGGCTGCTGTTTTTCTTATATGTCTTGTTATAAAGACTTACCTCATAGGACCATATTATCGCAAGTTGCATGCAGAAAGCAAAGGGAATAAAGAAATCCTCATCCTAGGAATAACTGCATTCATCTTCCTTATGTTAACGGTAATCTTTTAAATTAATAAAATATCCTGATACATGCAGTAGCTGACTGCATCAGTATCACAAAAGCCATCACAATTACTGTTGGGTATCCATGTACCTCTGTAGTCAATTATTTGGTTTTAAAATGTTTTTAAACAAACCCCAAATGCACAGATGATTCATACATTACAGCATAGATGAGTAAGAAGAAATAAAATTTGAATGTCAGTCAGCTGTACTTCTGCTGGCAACTTAAGCCAATTAAAGAATTGTGATTTCAGTTTTAATTTTGGCTACTTTGTGTGTTTCTGAAAATAATTTAGGATGGTTTTTGAGATACTGATAGTGCCCGATTGTGACATTTGCTTGTAAGATTCTTTTCAATAGCAAATTTTCAATGTGGTTTTTATTATGAAATAATTTTCTGTGGGAGTATAACAATTTGGAATGAAGCTGAGAAAGTAGAGAAGTGCCTTAAGATTCACAGATTCTGATATCCCTTTTGTGTTTGGTTCATTTTCATCTGGATTTTCTTTCTGTTTGTTTCTATCTCATGTTTCAGCCCTCTGAAAAACTATTTTGCTGGAGAACAGAATGTGATGGTCACTAATAATGTTGTGGGTTTGAAACTCCATTATCCTGGATGTGCAGATTGTTATGTCCTCTGAGAATTTCTGAGGAAAAAATATCCCACAACGTTCCTGCACTTTTTTTTTCATAGGGGTATTTACTTTATTACAGGTCCAACAAAGAAAGTTCACCTCCTTCAGGGAGAAGGTTAAGAAAGAAGTTAGTGGGAGCACAGCTTTACAATTCATTGATTTCTTCTGCATACATGAAAAATGCCATCCCTTTAAACACCTATTCATATTCCAAATGTGCCATATAATAAGAGAATTAACAAAACTAGTTTTTACTTTCTAACAAGCAGATACAACATTTGTATAACAACTTGAATAAAAAACAACAACCAAACCACAGAAGTTGCATAAAATATCACGGTATCTAGAAGCAGCCTTGCTTTCATTAAAAATATGGCCTACATAGACTCATCTGATTGAATTGGGTATACTGTGGCCAAATCACCTATCAAATGTATAAGGAGTTTCTCTACTGACTTTAACATATATAAGGTGGGAGAATATGTTTGAGTGTATGAAACTCATACTGCAAAACCAGAATGCTGCTTCAGCATGGGAAGCGTTTGTGGGGGAACAAATATTTTGTGTACTTCGAGTGAAAACAACTTTCCTTTTAAACTTGATAAATAATGTATCAAAAGGAACAGTACAAAAGATACTGCATGCAACCTCAGTAAACCAGCTGAGATGCTTGATATTCCGTGACACTGATACATCCATTACGGTTATGCTACCAGTTGTGGTTTGAGCACAAAGGCTTAAAGAAAAATAATACTGAAAAAAACCAATGCAAAACAAAAATGTATTTGGTTGTCCAACAGCTCAACAAAAAAATCTTCTGGAAAACAAATCTTAACTGCTATATAGCATAGATGCTGCATTATGTCAGGAATAAAAACATAGGATGAGGGATGGCAATCTTATTTGAAAAAATGATGCATGTATTTGTAAAGGATAAATTTAGGCTTTTGGGTGTCAGGTAGGAAAACAACTGAACTGCATAGGCTCCTGCAAAGATCTTTTTCCTTGGAAAACCTAGGCCTAAATACTGACAGAGTTTGTGTAATTATGTGCAAGCACAGAATTTTCCATACTGGTGTAATTCTAAAAGAGCTTTTCAGTTTGTAAAGTGAGTGCATATTTTGGTGGTCTTAACCAAAGCTGACTCTGTGCTTCATTTAGAAAACCTGAGAGACATATTGCAACTCATTAAATCTGAAACAGGTTCTTTGTCTCGATAAACTAAATTAGAGTAAGAGAGATGTAACCAATTTCAAATGTAAGATATTTTACCAAGGTTTGGAGCTGAAGATGCCTCTTTCTGTTCCCATGTATTCTCAGAGGTAACTGAAATTCCTCTCCCTTTTGTCCCTCAACTGGTTAGGCAGATTGGGTAGGGGGATTGTGTCAAGTGCAAATCCTATAAAAGTACAGTTGACTCTCAGACACAGTTGTACATCTTTCGGTCATGTATGTATCACATTGTCAGCAGAAGCAAAGGTTCAGTAGATCATTACTACACTTTAAGCAACTCCTTTTTGAGCTTTAAGTTACAAAGGAACTGGTTTTGGTTGTTTTTTTTTTTTGCTGGTGGTTTGTGTGGGGTTTTTTTTTTTGTTTGTTTTGTTTTGTTTCTTAACTGGTGAACTGTTCTCCTGAATCACAACATAAGCGAATTTAGTTTATGGTTTGAAATATCCGTTTAGGATCCATGGCCAAACTGGTACTTTTAGGTTGAGATACATACCACAATGAGCTGAAGAATATGTTGTAAGTCAGCCAGAGTGTTCACTGGTGTAGTGTTGGTTTTTCATATTCTGTATGTGCAGAAACATTACAAGAATTGTTTAAAATACTGTTCTGATAATGAATTGCTAAGATATCTGCATGACAACATGGGTCAGTTTTGGTATGTTTTTAAACTATGTTGCTGAATGATTCCTAAGAAATTGGGGAAAAAATAAAACCTGACCTGACAAGGTTAGCACTTACATTTACATGTTCATAGGACTGTGCATAAACATGGTGGAGAAGAAGCGCCTTCCAGTTTGACTGCCTTATGGTTCACCTGTAGTGATGCCACAAATGGAGGGAAATTGCCAGCTTACTTTATATACTAAAGAGATTAAAAGAAAATGTAGCTGTTAGTACTTTATATGAGAAAATGTACATACGTTTCCCTACAGTGTATTAGGAATGTCATTCCTTGTTTGCCTAGACTACTTTTCAATTGCTCATAACATGCTTATGAACTCTTTTTTTGTCAATTAAAAGAAGATTACAGTTCTTCCTTAATCTCAAATATTCTAGTTAATTATTAAAATGCAGTTGAGATGGAGATTTTGGAATGATCACTAAAAAATATTTCTATTTTCATTAAGGCTTTACTTCTTTAAAATGCAAGCTTAGAATTCACCTCTTTACTCTTGGGCAGATATAAATTACTAAAGTCTGGAATTCTAATACATTTATTTCCATCAGGAATTTCTTTATATTTACTGGCTCACCATGTTCATTAAGCTTCTGTGATGACTACAGTTATCAGTAAGGTACACTTTACTAGAAAAGATAGGTAAAATAACTGCTGAACAAATGGTGGAAATTCAACTGGAACACATAATACCAGTGATATTTATTTATTTATTGCTCTGGTAGAACTTTAGAACATAAAAATCCAATATTCGAGTGAAAGCAAAGCAGTCCTTCCTGAATTTGAGTAAAATGGGACCTTTGAAAACAACTGAAAACTAAATTGTACTGGGAAAAACATGTAAGCTGACAAAACATTTCATTTAATTTTGACTGAAAAAGCTTTCTGTAATGTAGGAGTTGAGGAAATGACAGTGCAGTGCCCAGGGATTAGTAATTGTTAGAGCTCTTGTTTGCTGAAAGCGAAATATTAACCATGATGCAAGCAGTAAGGGAATACTAAATGCAAAATACTTTCCAATTTTTGCTTATTTAAGGAATTTTGCTGAGAATGCCTTTTTGCCAGTAAAACAAACCCTCTCCAGTGTGTGTGTGTTTGTGTGCACCCACATGTTATATATAGTAAACTCTGAAGCTACAGATTTAGTATATGAGGAAGTGTATCGCCTTATTGCTACTATTAGTAGACAGCCAGAGACCAGGATGGGAATAGTGAAAGGAGTGTCTGTATAAATCTGGATATAAATCAAAAGAACAAACTGGAGAAAGGGGGGATAGGGTTAAGAAAATTATGTAATTTTTGGTTTTCTTCTTGCCTCTCATTCACTTCATACTTTTCTTAAGAGTGACCTATAGATTTTGTAGACATTAAGTTGTGTAGTACCTAGTGAGCAGACAAGAAATAGCAAAATCTGCCTCGTTATCTGCCAGGCCCTTGAGCTCATACTTGTCATAAAGTGAAGGAATGGCAATTCATGTTTTATTTGGTGGGAGCAAATCCAGATGGACATAGAGTTTGCTCCAGTTAAGTCAGATGCATTCTGAACAAGCGTGTTTGTTTCACCCTTAAATTGCTCCCTGATTGAATAGTGATTCTTACAACAGCACAGCATCAAGCAGTTCTGATACAAAATGTGCTAAATCCCATCTTATGTGGCAACCTAAGCATGTACATGGGAATACTTAAAATGTCAGCTATAAAAGTTTTGATCTGGAGTTCTGTTACAGCTGATAATACTTAAGTGTATGTGTGTTATAGCTGGATAGTAAAAATAATTCCAACTTTATTTGGAGAGGCTATGTTGGATTTTAATCATACTCAAGAGGTTGTGAATTTTAAAACAACTAATGTTGATGTAGAAGAACTTAAGTGTTTCCTACTTGTTACTGTTTATCTTATTCATCTTTTGGTGATTTTGAAGCCTTTTAAAATATATATTTCTTTCTTCCACCTTGACAGCTTCAAATTGTGGCAAAAAGTGCTAAAATTCCTTTTCTTTTAAAATGAGAGTAAAGTTATAATGTTATTTTTGTTGGTTTTGCCTGATCTGCAACTATTTACATTAGCTGACAAAACCCATTTGTGTTCTTAAATGTCTTGCAATAAATTACGGACTATTGGAGTTACGTGATGAGCACTTGGGCATTAACACTTCAATACACAAAAGTCTGGGGTTTATTTTTAGGTGGCATTTTATGCATAGCTTGCAGACTTGTTTATTGTATCTTTTGCTCTCCTCCATTAATTTCAAGTCACTTGAGTTCTAGCTTCATACCTTACAGTGTAACACTGTTCAAGATGTGATGAATGTTGTCCATAAATATACTTGAGTGTATTGTTGCTTAATCCAAATTAGTACGGAAATAAATCTCCAATCTTCTATTAATATTAATAGCATTGAGCTTTCTCAGTAAGATGACCATCTGCAGCAGCATAGTTTTAAAGTAATTATTTTAAATACTTTATACCTACTAAAAGTGCTGCTTGCTTATTTTAATGTTCCGAGCATTGCCTGAAGCAGTTGCTTTGTTTTTAGTTCTGTCTCTTTGCATGTGTTTCATCTCTTCCTTCTAGTACCCTATTCACACAATAAAAAAAGAATGAAGCAGTCTTTTCAAACAGGTATCAGGCTTCATTTCAGCAGTTTATTTCACATGCTTAAATGCATCCCTATTCAGTAAAGGACACAGGCACACTTAAGTCCAGTTCACAATAATAACATGTAATTTATGCCTGGGACTTCTGCTAAATTGAGGCTATTCTTCCAAATTACAAGCCTTTGATTTTTATTTTTTTTCCCTGTGTTTGACAGCTGGAAAAGACACTGTTCTTACAGGCTTCATGTATTATGTAATTCTGCCTCCAGAGCTGTTACAGTCTTCCTTGTTTGTGTGAAATCAGATGCTATCCTTAAGTGACATGCAGCATTACAATGTAGATTAAGAAATTCACTTATGTTTTTGTGGGGAAGGAGGTAACATGGAGGGGAAACATGAAAGGTTTGTCAATCTTTTGTATAAAAACAATACTGCATAAAACTGAAATAATTACACTGAGCTTACTGATCTTGCATAACAACATAGTAATTTCCTGCGTTGTTTAATGTAGTTTTGTAATTTTACTGTGAAATGGTGTATAAATTCACCTGGGGCTAGAGAACAGCAATAGATTCTCTGTTATTCCTTGACAGATCACAGAGCTGTTGGATGTTTCAATGGAGCTGGGATGCTTCTTAGCAGGAGCTCTGATCTCTTCTCAGGGTCACATGGTTACTGAGGAGATTATGTCCTGTATTGAACCAATACGTGACTTTCTTGCCATCATTTTCTTTGCATCCATAGGTAACTACTAATAAAACTTTCTTAAAATATAGCATTAACCTACAAATGTGGGGGGGAGGAAAAAAATTGTGTCTACAAATTGAGGAGAGGGGATAGATTTTTGTTTCATTAAAACACTAAACTGTTAACTGACCACAGTATTGGTTTGCCTTTGCTAATGTTTTAAATGTAACATTCATTTTTGTAAGCAATTTCCATGATGTACTATCAGTTCTTGTTTTAATGAGAGTTTATTGTTAATTCTGAATTCACACTATTTAAAACATATACCTAAAAATTTTAAGGGGAAAAGGTTTTTGTTTGGGTGTTATGCTTTTCAGTCTTGATTTTTGTTTTACCCAGCCCATGCAAATAGCGTATGCTGATCAGTCAGATTGCTTAGTAACATATGTGTTTATTTGAATAATTTACCCTTTTAATAAAGGGAGGAAAGGGGTGAGATACAGTAAAACTCTTGGGCCATTATAACTGACAGTGTTGGATGAGTAATTGCTGAATACTCACAGGCAAGTTAGCTGTGTTTCACTAAGATGGTGATGGAGTAGATAGTGTTATCATGGATACAAAACATGACAGTTATAAGTGCAAAGTTAATTTTACAAAGGACTGAACAAAAATACTGTCCTATACTCTTGCAACTGCATAAATTAAGACGAGAGATAAGACTTTGGTAAAGTACAAGAAAATTGCAAGACCTCAGTTGGCATGCTGGCAGAACTCCACATAACCCAAATTATACTGTAAGAAAATCATTTTATTAGTTCTGTTATAGAAATTTAAAAATTAATCTTTTATAAACTGCTGTTACCATTATAATTGCAAGAAGGTAAATAAAATTGCCTGAGAAGTTTGTATGGTTTTACAGAAAGTGGATGTTTTTCCTTCCTCTGAAGAAAGTTAGCTAAAAAATCAGAGCCGTGGCCTCTGACAAGATGTGACAACACTTGCTTGTAAAAAACAAAACCTGGGGAAAAAAAAAAGGCAAACAAAAAACCCCTCCTTCCCATTAAACATTATCCCACCCTTTCCACCTTTACTTTCAGTTGCTTTCAAATGTTGTGGTTAACAGGAAGTTCTGGGGGTTGGCAAGGAGGTCGATTTTAAAAAGGAGCGGTGAGATGTTGCAAAAACCCAAGTAGGCTAAAAAGTATTCCTTAAACTTTTTTAAAAGCAATCTAATACAAAAAACACTTCTTGCTTGCTCTTCACTTTTTATATGTACAAATGCAAACTATATGCATCTGTAAATACACAGATTTACTATTTGAAATTATATAAAGCCATAGGGAAAGATTTTCCTCCCCCTCTTCAGCCCCCCCCCCCACATAAGGAGAAGGCTTGTTGCTATATGCAGCAAGCACCTTATTCTAGAGAGCAGAAACACTTGAGATCCTCAGGTGGATGCTACACCACTGCAGTACTAGAATTTCTGCTCCTTTTAGAATAAAGGAATAAATAGAGGGAAAAAAAAAGAAGTCTTAATTGAAAAGTGACTGTAAATATGTGATTTAGAAAAGTTATTTCCTATGTTGCTTGTCTTAAATGCCTACTTATGTGTTCTTACTACAGAAATCCTTCAAAAATCCTACAGAAATCCTCCTTACTACAGAAATCCTACCTAAAACCTGAGTTGAATAATACTTGTTTGTGTAGTATCTGTAACAGTGGTCCTGTCCTTAGAATGACCTGATTGCCTACTGCTCTCAAAGTTGCGTATTAGTGCATTTGTGGGAATAGTACACCTTTGCAGGTAGGCATTAAGAGCTGCACTTGGAGTTGCTCTCCATCTGTACATTCCCTTTAAGCCTGTGTGCATTCTTCAAGGTTTCTGGCTCTCTTTATGCAATCTGCTGAGGTTAGAAAGTCTCTGTTGGCCTCCATCCTTACTAATATTTCAGAGAGAACATCTGGGCTTTAGAATTTGAGTATTTTCTTTCTTGTTTCTGTTTTGGTACCTAGTACTTCGATCCTTCCATTTCCACACCTGCATCATTTTGTTTTGATTGCTTTTTATAAAGGACCAGCAGGGTTCTAGTTTCTGTAATCTTGTTTGCCAAGAAGGATCTCCAAGATTCCTTTTCTCGACACTGCATCTGGTCATGACATTTGGATCTTTGCCTGCTGTTTAGTGGTTACCTAGCAGATTGGTGGACTCAGTCTAATTGGAGGGTGGGAGGGCGTTTACTTATTAAGAAAGAAGTACTTTATAAAAATGTGCAAAATCTTGCCTGTAACTGTCCACAAGAAGAACACATACCAGTTTATATGAGTGAATTGTGCTTTTTGGCTCAATGTTATTGTAAGGTTACCTTTACCCCAAGGCCTTCATTCCAGTTATTCAAGAACACTGCTTAGAATTGAAGTCCAGTGGCTTATGCTCAGCTCTACAGAAAATACCCAAGCTATTGGTGACAGGCCAGCATGACGCATGTTACCTGATGTTGGTGCTGAAGTTCTTGAATTATTTGGTTGAAGTGTTTCTTCTGTTTTGGAGAACAAGTCCACAGTGATTAGATTCAACCCACTGAAAAAAATGGCCATATTCATGCACCTTCTGTCCATGAAGGTAAATCTTTCTGTTGACATTGATGTCAGGAAGGCTTCATATGCTTGTATAGCAGTCTGATATGACTTCTGGCTTTATGCTAAGTTTTCATCTAGGACTGAGGCAAAGGTCTGTAATGACCCTGAAATCCACTATGGTGGAATGTATTCCCCCAAAACATGTCTGTGTTCTGGGATGTTTATTTGTTTGTTCAGAATAGTGTAAGTAGCAGGCTTAGACTTGCTTCACCTTGCAGACACTCACCTCCACTGGATTGGTGTAGAAATCTGTGGTAGTTTGTGCCTCAGCTCTTTGAAATATGGTCATAATCTCCACATCAGGCAGCAGTTCGTGTGGACTTCAGACTGCTTGTCTGCTGCAGAACTGAAAAAGTAGCTCCACCAGTAGTGGTGAGAGCACTAGGCTATATTTATAGCCTCCTAGAATAATTAATTCCAGATGTGGCAGAGTTGGCCCTCTTATCAAATGTGACATTGTTACAGGCTGTATTTATCTAGTTGCTTTTCATGTGTGTTTCTGAGACCAACTTAAAGGTGAATGAACAATGTGCATAGTACAAAAACTACTTTTCCCCTCCATGAGCATGTGTGCACATATTAGGGCTTCTTTTTTTGGTGTGGTGTTTCTCTCTCTTACTCTGCCATCTCTTTCGTTATTCTGATAGTCTTTTGCATTTGCACTTCAGTAGTTGGAAAGAAATGAAGAAATAAAACAGGGTGCATACATGCTGACTGGGTAGTACTTGTATAAAAATCTCTGTTGTGCTTGACATACATTTCCATCCACAATACATTGTGAATTTACTGCAAGTAACTTCTCTTGAGTACTCAAGAAGGGAAAATGACCCTTAGCTCTCTAGTTCTTCTGGCTTTACAGTGCTGTGGGGCAAGGAAAACTAGTGAAAACTTGCCTTGCATTAAAATAAGAAGCTACAGCATTGATTTACATGCCTCATGCTTTAGAAAGCTAAATTCTTGTCCTTCACCAGACATAACTTGGTTGGAGAACTGCCAACTATTATGGATTTATCAGGAACACCACCATTATTTTGGTTCCTTTTTTTAAGAGCTTTTAAGAAAAAGGAATAAGCTTCCAAAGATAAGAGTTATGTTTGCCTGCAGAAGTTCCTCATACCTAAGAAGAAAACATGGACTTAGTCAGCTGTGAGTTGGATTCTTCCAGGACTTCTCCAACAAATACTTCTTTTTCTTTAGCAGGATTTAGTTTTCAATTTCTGCGTTCTTTATGGTTCTTGTTTCTATATTCATTGAATTTAGCGTAAGGTGTCCCTGCCCACAGCAGGGGGGTTGGAACTAGATGATCTTAAGGTCCTTTCCAACCCTAATGATTCTATGATTCTATGAATTAAAGTGACAAAAAAAAATTAGAAGAAAAAAACCCAAACAACTAAACCACTGGCAGAGAACACCCCACCCCCCCCCAAAAAAAACAAACAAACCACAAAACACCCCACAAACAAAAACAAAACAACAACAAAAAAAAAAACACTCAAAACCCCAACAACATCACAGCAATGAAGTTTTATATAATTCCTTAATTGTTAGGGCATGGGGATGTGCATGGGGATTTTTTGCCTTTTACCAATTCCAGTCCTAAGTGACTTTTCCAGTTCAGGTGACTTTCAGTGTTGGCAAGTGAGGGTCATGGGATCAAACAGTTACATTTTCTGATGTAGCTCTATAGTCTGTGCAATGCTGAATATCATGATCCTTCCACAGTGATAGTCCCATTACCATGCAGTACAACAATGTTGAAAACAGTGAGCAAAGTGCATGTTACAGTCATTATGCAGAACAATGGAACTGTTTTCCGGCAGTATTTTTATAGTTCTTACTAGAGGCGTGTTTCAGTTCAGATCATGGATTGTTGACTGGTGTGGAAGAGAGAAACTTTAGAAATGAATGTGCTTGTGCATCAGTCATCTCAGTTTAACTCGGTTGGGAATATTGTTTATGCTAAACCTCTCTGAAGGAATAATGGTTGGATAAATGCAGGAAGTGCTTTAGTGATCAAGAAGGTAGAGTTGATAGCTGTTAGGGCTTTTTATTTTTGAATACAGTCTTGCAATTAAATCTGTTATTAACTCAGAAAATTATCATAGTAAGATAGTGGATTTAAACTTTGAAATATTGTTTTCTTTCTTCCTAGGACTTCATGTTTTCCCCACATTTGTAATATATGAACTTACAGTCTTACTATTCCTTACACTGTCTGTGGTCATAATGAAGGTATTTTCTTTTCCTCTTTTTTTAATCTTATAATAGTTTAAATAATCTTTGTGCTGCATGCCGTAATGAAAATTCTGTGCAAAAATTGAACATCTGATGTAACAGGAAATATTACAGCTTTACTGTAAAGCTGTATTTGGAAGAATCTTGCTGATTAAAATACAGTTTGATAGAACAAGCTTAGGGTATTAGGAAAAAAAAGCTATTTAATGTTAAAAGTAAGCTACACATGGAGAAACATCTATTTATCTAGGTTGGAATTTGTAACAAAGCTATCAAATGTTTTTATTATAGTAAACAATATACTAATTTTTACTGTGCAATGTACATTTGTTTCTTAATACAGAAGACACACTAGAAGTCCACTAGTTTATGTCCAGAATTATTGTATTTGATGCTCTATATCTCACAAAGATTTAACTATTTTACTTACTGCACTTTTAATTTAAAAAACAAACCCACAATAATCCCCCAAAAACCTTGCTTTTCAAGTTTGTCTTGGCAGTGCTTGTCCTTTCTCTGATTCTTCCAAAGACCAGCCAGTATATCAAGTGGATTGTCTCAGCAGGACTGGCACAAGTCAGTGAATTCTCTTTTGTTCTGGGAAGCAGAGCACGTAGAGCAGGGATCATATCTCGGGAGGTAAGCTGTTCTATACTTACCAACTTTGCGGTTTGCATCTGAAAAACTTACTGGGGTTTTGTATGACATTGTATTTGAAATACTGTGAAATACAGTGACTGGTATTTGAAATACCAGTACACTGGTATATCTCAACTGCTAACAAATAGAATCAACCCATACAATTGGAGACACGTATGCCTTGACAGGGTTCTTAGTTCTGTTTTTCACTTGTTTCATACTGTACTTTAAAATATTAAATAGTGAGTTTTACATAGCTTAGTTGTAAGTGCTTTACCTTAACTGCTCTTACAACTTCTTTATTAACTGAGTAGGGAGCTGTAGATAGCACCTGCATCACTAACACTGAGAAGCCCTTGCTTTTAAAATCTTGATACAGCTATAGAAAGAAGTAACTGAGAGTACAGGATTTGAGTAAGGGCATATTGGTAAATAAGAGCTAGAGAGCAGAGATGGTGAAGTGGAAATTGCCTTAACATTTAAACAAACAAGCAAACTTGTAATCTTTACCTGCAAAGCTTGTTCATTTTAAATCCTTTGCAGAAGAAACAACCAGCTTTTTCAGTAGTCATGAAAAAAAATCACCCAGGAAAGAAACCTTAAACTTAGTTTTATATTGAAGCTGTAAGAATATTATTTTCTTCATGATGAAGTCTGCTTTGTGAAGTTAAGTAAATATGGCTATGGAGATAAAACAGCTGACCTCATTTTCTAGTGCTGTTTGCTTTCTCCTCTGTATCTCTGCTCACAAAAATACTCTGCTGGCACCCCAAGCTTTTCATTGTGTGAGCAAGTGGGCTGTATAACGCTGGAAGCTATTCCAGATAAAGCATGTGTGAAAAACTTACACAATGCTGTTCACTTGTAGGCAAAGGTGATTCATTTTCATGTTCATTCGTGCATATAATTAGGAGTTATAAATATTGTATGTTTGTCCAGAGTTTCAAGATACCCATACATAATCACAGAACCAGGTTAGGGGCCCACCCACTGCACATGGAAACCTGTAGGCTCTCCTTTTATTCTGTGGCGGCTCTCATGTTATTATCTATGTACAGGTTTATATAGCTCTAAAATTTCCGTAAGCCATTCTTCTGTTTGAGACCTTAAAACTGCTTCCTGATGTTTTATAAGACTCATTCAGACTGTGTAGCTAAGATCATTCTTTCAGATGATGTGCAGTATGACTTAAAGGGATTTTTGTTTGGCAGTTTTTTAGTGTATAAAATAGTACTCAGCTTAGCCATTGTATCATTAAACCACAATAGCTTGGGGGGGGGGGGGGGGGGGGGGGGTATATGGTAATATTTTGTTGTGGTGGTGGTTGGTTGTTTTTTTTGTTGTTGTTGTTTTGGTTTTGTTCTAATAAAATGGTATTTAGCCATTGACCTGTTAGCAAACACTGAACTTGCAAAATTGACCTCTTGACTATACATGTAAATAATTTTTCTATAAGCTCATAACACTGTTTTTGTAATTGTATCTTCAAACCAGGTAAACAAATAATTTGAGCATGCACTTGTTTGCTTTGGTAGCAGTATGCATAATTGGTTAGGAAGACAGGTGAACTCTCCTGAACATACTGTCTAGAAGAGTTTGATCTCCTCAAACTTCTAATCTTAAGTTTACCACGTAACTAAGAGGTAATGGCTTTTATTTGCAATTTTCAGGTCTATCTTCTCATTCTGAGTGTGACTACTCTGAGCCTTCTACTTGCTCCTGCCCTGTGGAGAGCTGCCATTATGAAATGTGTTCCAAGACCTGAAAGACGCTCAAGTACTTGATTAAGATTTGCACATATACAAGTATCCATCTTCTTGCAAGAAACATCTTCGTTGCTCATTGTATTTCTATGCACTCAGAAGATGAGAGGTTTTGAGTATTCGGTCCTCTTAATGTGCACTTGGTTATAAGCCTTATACAGACATAAATACAAAACAAGATTCAGTATTTAAAGTATAGTTATGTAATTTGAATTGCACAACTTGTACAAAATTTGCTTTCTCTCTGACAGATTAGAATCTGCCAGAAAATTTGTTCCTGATCCAATCACTTATTCAGAGCATAAATTATTTTTTTAAAATATGGCATCATGCAAACTCTGTTATCTTTTGCCTGAATGTGCCTTTTAATTTTCATCCTGTTACTGCTGGTTCATCACCAGATTTTGTTTAAAAAGATATAGATATATATTATGGTGCCTATGGTATCTTCTTTCACTAAATGACTTGAGTCATTTTCACATCTAGGAGTTTAATATACTAGTAGGAAATTTAATTTCAAAACATTTCTGACGGTGAGTAAAAGCATAGTCCTTTACACCAATAAAAGGTTTAACTGTTTAGCATCAAACTGTTTTAAGCAGTCAGATTCATACTGCAAATGATACAGCCAATGTTGTATGGTATTTTACTCCAAATCACAGCACACAGTGTATTTTCTTACAGTGGCAACTTTTCTTTGTGCTAATTCTTGTATTTATTTACATATCTGATTAAAAGTTGACAGTAAAAAGGGGCATCGCTTAAGTTATACTGGAAGACTGACACTTGTCACCAGTTTTTGTTGCTAACTGCTGCTACAGCAGTTGTTTACAGATTGATTTATTTTGAATCAAAAATAAATGTACTAAAACTGGGAAGTCTGATTTCAAGTAGATGTGGAAAAACTTCAGTTCTGTAACTCTGGAGGTTGGATATTTGACACTTTACTAGATTTGGAGTTACTTTAGGAAAATTAATTTTCACAAAACTAAAAATGGCAGACTGGACGTACATTTGTAACTCCATGACTTGGTAGGTCACATTTATGTGGACTAAACTGTTACTCTCTCTAAAATATCATGGTATTTTAAAATACAGTGTTTGGAATGTGATCTGAAATACATGTGTGGTGTTCTTTAAAATGTTACGCATAGCTGGATAAGACTTGTAAAAGCCCATTCTCTGTCATAGAAAAAGCTCACTCATAGACTGTAGTCTGCTCTAACAATTTAAAAACCATCTTGAGGTTTATCTGCTAAAGTCAATACTATTAAAGATGTATTAACACTGTAGGTCAGTGTTACAGTGTCATCTGAAAGATCTTTAATACCCCAAAAATGTTTAGAAAAATGCATGTTACATGGGTTTAAATAGCCAATTAAAATGAAAGCTGTCCTCCAAGTAGCAAAATGGAGCTTCGGATGGATTTGTGTGCTTTAATACCTCCCTCGTCTACCATAGTAGCCTCAGTTTTCTCAGTAGCCCTGTGTTTTCTCTGACATCTGCTGGGCTTGGCAAAGTGCAGCTTGGACTAGTCTGGAGTGTCTATATACTGTTAGGGCAGGGTAGAGCTCATCATATTTGAGCTCTTTCTTGCTGGACTTGGGGCTTTCTTCCAGGCACTGATGCTTCATAAAGGCTGCAAAATGTATTGCAATTCCACTTCTCCTCCAATGGTTTCAAAAGTAACCAAGGAACAGTGACAAATGTAGAGGAAAAAGCTGCCCTATAAATAAACAGGGTGGCGTTTTTTATAAAAGGAATCTGTAATAGAAAAGAAACTTGAAATGGATTTGTTGTTTTTTGTATTCAAAATACAGAAGTAATTTAAAAGTTTTATGGTACCATTTACAAATCTACCAGCTCAGACCTTTTACTCTTTTTCAGGTGCCTCACTAAAATGTGTTTCTTAACTGTACTAGGGAAAGATACGTTACTCTATCCACTGACCTAGCTCATAGCATCTTGAAATACAAGCTTCCCTTCTGAATCCTTCATTTTGGTTTTGAAAGATGTTTTCATATGTAGTTTGCCATCTATGTTTCAGGGAGGAAGAAAAGTGTCTGTGACAGACCATGGTAGAGATCTCTGTATGGTTTCCATTATGTCCCAGCCCTTGAAACTATTATACAAAGTACTACAGCTGTGATGAGTAAACCTTTTTTTAAAATAAACTGCTAGTTGTACTTCTCTCCTAACTGGAACTTTCCAGAGTAGGAAATACTGATGGTTTGTGTCTCTCAAAGAAAACATTTTCCTGATTACCTTTTAAAGTAGTTGTGTGAAGAGTCCTTTTGATACCATGTCCAAAAAGTAAAGCAAGTATCATGTCCGTCACTTCTTTCCCAAAGAATTTTTGATTCAATCATGACTTGGCTAGGCTTTAGGAGAACTGGGGAAAGAGAAATAGGAGCCTCGTCTGAGTATCAGTGTTCTGTGCCTCTCTGTAGATTTGGATTGCCTGATTATTAGATGCAAGTTCAAATTACTAATCCTATTGGACATATGATAAATTTGTTTACAATCAGATGTACTGAGATACTGTAAATGTTTCCTGAAATGGCGCCATGCATGATTCCATGTCAAAATGGGGTGATCTCATGATACAGTCTTAGGACAGAAACAACAGACCTTATTTCTGAGTGATCAGTTGTGCCTGTATGGAAAATGAGGAGAGTATTTCACAATTGGACAACTTAGATACAATTGCAGCTTTTCAGGAACCTGATACTTGTACTCTGGAATATTCTGTGTCAAATTGGTAAAATTAAAGCAGAGATCCAGAAGCCCTGAAAGGAAAATCTACCGATTTGTTGAAGAACAGGCAGTCTTTTCTGACAATGTTTGTTTCAGCTTGTTGTGGTTCTACCATTCTTCTAGCTAATGACTAGCATCATTTGAATACGGAAAAGCTGATATGGGATAGAAATATCCTAAGTGACGAGAGAATATTTCTGCAGTGAAGCTGAGCTGAAGGGAGTGGAATTCATTCAGTGTAACTGATTTAGGTTTGGCTTGGTTTTTTTTCGGTTGGTTTGTTTTGGAGGTGGGTGCAACTGGCTGCTTGTTTTGTGTGGCTTTCTCTCTGAAAATTCGAGTTCTTGTACGTTACCCCTTAATTGCTACCGTTGGTCATTGCTGCCTATGAGGGTGAAGGAAACAAAACACTTTGATAGCATGGGCAGTGCTCATACTTTGAGTCACTTTCCTGTCCCCTGTGTCAGATTGGTATGTATGGACCCACAACCACCCTACTTACAGCTCATCCTGTACAAAGCAGGCTGTTTCAGTCCCTTAGTAGGAAGACATCTAATAGGAGCTGTGAGGTAGGCTTTTGCAGTTGTGACTGATGTGGGTCTACAACGGCTCAAGAACCGCTGTCATGGTTGCCCAGTCCACAGGCATATATAGCTTTCTAAAAGCTGTAAGAATTCCTATTTCCTATAATCCTCAAAGATGAGAAGCAAGCTGCCTCACAATATGTTGTATTTTACTTCTTTTACAGTTGGACATCCCCTGCTTTGTGGGCAGAGGCACGTGTGGGTGTGCCTCGCATGCAGAATAGCACTGTATGATGCTGCTTGACAGAGGGTGTGGAAAACCTAGTGTGGTCTTGCTGCCTGCTGGAGCGAACCCAGAAACACTTTAACCACAAAAGCACTCCTGAGGTTTGTCTAGGGAAGGAATCTGCAGTTCTTCTCTGTAAGCAATCCTGGCAGTGCTCCAACACCTGGGTACTGCCAGAGGTGGAGGAAACTGGACCCCCGAGTAACAGGAGTTGAGCCACATTAACAGCATCAACATCTTTGTGGGAAACAACAATAGCTTGTAAGGAGCAGCAGGTACCAGACATCCACTATTAAGATGACCTAAAAAGAAGGAACCCAACAGATTTAGTGAAGGGAGAAGGAAGAGCAGGAAGATGTCCTAAGCTGGGAGATGCATGGCCCACCACACCCACCCTAAAGGAAACAAAAGGCAGAAGGGAAAGACGTGCCTCTCTCCCAGCTCCATGGAGTAGTCCAAGAGACATGCTTCTCTGCTGCTTTCCCACTACCTCTTGTCGAGTAGTTACTACTGCCCAGTGGGGAAAACAGCATGAAGACAGCGGTGACCAAGAAAAAACTCCTGATGGCTGGAGACAAAGAGCAAACTGGATGATGGTGTGACCAGAGCGGTTTAGGGACAATCAGTCCTGCCTTGGGGGCAAAATATAGATCAGGGAATGGCAATACTTTCAAGGTTATGGCACCAAGCTGTGTTTATTTCCTAAAATACAGCAGAAATTTGAGAATTGGGAGATGCTACCTCCCAACCAGGGCAGATGCTGACAAGCTTGTCAACAACCTACTTGTCTACTGGTATTGAGTGTTTCTTTAAGCCTGGAGCTTGCATAGGTCCCTCTCTTACGATGGCAGACTTCCAGTTCTCAAGCAAAGTATCAGTCAAAATATATCCACGTGCATGTCCTCTGGCATTCATCTTTGGTTAATAGATAGGTAACTTCTTGAAAGAGTTTTCTTGTGTCTTGCAAGGTTCTGCTGTACTAATGCTGGTTACAGTTGTGATCTGTTCTCCTTTTCAAGCACACTTTAATTAGTTGTGAAGTGGAATAGCCTTTCACTCTTAAGTCCTAAAGCTCCAAAATGCCTGAGAGGTGTGCTCAGAGATTAGAGAAACGCTGAAGGCTTTTCCACCGGTACAAATACTTCAAATTAGCTGTCAGCAGCCCTCTCATAAAAACCACCTGGGAGTGGGTATGCTGGGGCAGTCAGTCTTATGTCAAAATAAATGCTATCAAACCAGGCCCGCCCCTCTTGTTTGTGCTTGTTCAGCTGTCTCACAGTTTTGTTTCTGTAATGAACATAAAAGGGTGTGTGGGCAGCCTGGGCAGGGACTTAAGGTATGTACTGTGCCTGTGAGTCTAAACTGACTCTGTATGACCCACAGCATGGAGAGCAGCACTGTCAACTGGAGATGTTGTCTTTCAGGAAGCCTTATTCTGCAGCTGGCTTGGGTGCTTCTTGGCTTTGTGTTCAAGTCCTTGCCTCTTTCTGAAAAGTTATAAACATATTTTCATTATCTCCATCTTTCTTCGATGTCCACTGCCATCGAGCTTAGTCAAGAAGACTGAAGCAATGGGGTAATAATAGTTGTTACCAGAGCAGGCTACTTTCCTACATGAAAGGAAGATGGAACAAGGAGGTGGCTGGTCTCCCAAGTAACAGGATGGCAGGAAAGTCTGAAGCTGTGGCAGGGGATATTAGATTGGATATTAGGAAAAAATTCTTCACCAAAAGGGTGCTCAAGCATTGGATCAGGCTGCCCAGGGAAGTGGTGGAATCACCACTCCTGGAAGCGTTAAAAAATTGTGTAATGAGGCCGTGACATGGTTTAGTGGTAGACTTGGCAATGCTGGGGTAATGGTTGGACTTGATGACCTTAAAGGTCTTTTCCAATCTAGCTGACTGTGATTCTGTGAGCTGCCACGGAACCCCACAGCAGTGAGCAGCAGGTTACTGTGAATGAAAAACTTCAGACATTGCTATTGAGAAATGAAGGTAGCATTCATTTCCTCATTACTATAAAACACAACTCCCCAATGCCTTAAATTAAAAATTGAGATACAGAAGTACCTAAATAGAGAGTCAACTGATGAAATGTGTCTTCTCTGACATCTGTGCTAACTCATTTTGCTGTTCCTATATAGCGTCTCTGCTGGTTGCATCTTCTATTCCCTACCAGTGTTCCATTCCCAGGCATGACTACAAAGCACCACACCTTTAGATAAAAAACCAACCCTTTTACTTCCTGCTCCCCTCTTGCTCACATTATTAACAGCCTTGTACCTAACATGCTTGGTATTGCATGTACAACCATGTGCAGCTTCCCCCACTCCATCAAAGTGTCATATACACACTCCTGTAACCAACACCAGCTTTTCGGTTTGTCGCTTTGCTGCAATGTTCCAGTCAAGGGGAGGCTCCCAAAGAAACTGTGGCTGCCCTATCCCCAGCAGTGTTCAAGGCCAGGTTAGACCTGGCCTTGAGCAACCCAGTCTAGTGTAAGGCGTTCCTGCCTATGGCAGGGAGGTTTGAACTGGATGACCGTAAAGGTCTCTTCCAACCCAAACCATTCTATGGTTCTATCCGCCACTACAGGTTTGCCTTTGCGGCTCCCACTATGCACCCTGCAAGGTTTTTTTTTTGCCAGGAATTACACCATTCTTGTGTAATTACATCACACCCTGTAGCTAACATGCACCATCCCCATGGCTGTCACTGCACACAAGCCAGCACACGAGGTTTCACACCCTGGAGATATCAGAAATTCACACAAGTACAGGTCTGGCCTCATTCACAGTGAGGTCCAGCGGCCGCGTAACAGCAAACTTCCGCTTGGATTACTACAAAAGCCTCATTTCAGCAATGGCGACTGTCAGCCAACTTGCTGAAGTAACGGCCAGGCAGTACGTGAGGAGGAAGCACCGGCAGGATGTTGTGGCAACCACCTACACCGCCGTGCCGTGCCGTGCCGTGCCGTGCCGTGCCGGCTCCCGCGCCGCCAGAAACCTGCTCGGCAGCGAGGCCGGCGAGAGCTCGCTCCTCGGCCCGGCGCGTCCCTGCCCGCGGCGGCGGGGCCGAGGCGGGGAGCCCCGTGTCCCGCAGCGATACGGGACACGGAGGCGCCGGCCGCCTTCCCGCCCTTTGGCGGCGCGGCTCTACAGGCCGAAGACCGATCTCGCGCCGATGCTTCCCGCGCACTCGCGCCGCAGGGCGGCGAGTCGGAAGGCGCGAAACTCCCGCGCATGCTCCCTGCTCCCCGCGGAGCGCGCGGCCGGTTGGCTTAGCCGCTCCGCGTGTGCCCGTGCAAGGCACGCTACACCCCGTGACGTCAGCGCGCAGCGTCACGCCGGGGGGACGCACAAAAGTGTAAGTTTCAATTTTTTTTATTTTTTTTTTTAATTTTTTTTTACCCCCTCCCCGTTTGCAGGAAAAAAAAAAATTCAAATAAAAAAAAAAGGGAAGAGCGGCGGGTTCGAGCGCGCGCGTCCCGCGGAGGGGTTGCCCCCCTCACTCCCCTTTGCCCCCCCACACTCCCCGTGCAGCCCCTCGGTGGCTGGGGCGCGGGCCGGGACAGCGGCAGCGGACAGGTGTGTGGGGCCGCGGGCGGGCTGGGGGGGGCGGTCCGGGTGCGTGTATGTGTGTGTTGGGAGGGGGATGTGTGGGCAGTGACTAGCCGGGAGCCCGCCAAGCTGGCGACCGGCGGGGGCAGAGGCGGGTTGGGAAGTGACAGCCCGCCCGCCGCCGGCTGAGACCCCCCCCCACTCCTCATGCCCCTTCCCCCCGCCCCGGAGCTCGGGGAAGGGGGGCGGACCCAGCCGGCTGCCCCCCCGCGCTCTCCCCCCCCTCCATTCCCCCGCCCGAACTGCCGTTGGGGCCGTTGGTCTCCCTCCTCCCCTGCCCCCTCCCGCCGGGCTCGCCAGGCCCGCGCGCGCGCCGCCGCACATGTGCAGTTGGGCGCCTCCGCAGCGGCAGCAGCAGCAGCGGCGGCGGCGGCAGCAGCGCGGCGGCGGGAGGGGGGTGCTGCTCCCGCTCCGCGCTCTGGGTCCCTGTCTGCGGGCGGCGGCGGGGGATGGAGCCGGAGCTCTCCGCCTTCGGCCGCTCAGGTGCGGGCAGCCTGGGCCGGCCTGCAGCAGGAGGATGGGGAGCACAGAGGGGTTGGGATGGGGTTGTGGAGGAGGAGGAAGGGGGTGCTGCCGCCGGTTGTGCGAGGAGGATGGGGACGGGGTGGACCGCGCGCCCCATTCCCCTCCCCCTACCGCCGGCAGTGCAGCCCGGCGCGCGGGCGCGTCCCCCCTTCGTCGTGCCCCCGCCGCCTCTGAGGCGATTAGCGCGGCCCCTCGCTACCGGGGCGGGGGGAGGCGGCGCGGGGCTTAGGGCTTCGCTCGGGCGGTGAGGCCCTGGTCGGGGGGCGCGTGGTGCCCGGGGCGGGGGGTGGCAGCTGCCAGTCTCTGCTGTGTGCCCGGTTGCCAGCGAGGAGGAAGAAGGGGGGGGGGGGGTTGCAAGGCCCCGAGGGGGAGCTGGCCCCTGGGGCCTACTTGTGCCTGCTGCTAGAAATGGGGGTGGGGAGGAGGAGGAGGAGGCCAAGGGAGGGATCGCTTCCCCCGCCGCGCCCCGCGCTGCGGTGTTGTAAGGGGCGCAGCTGGACAGGGACTCGGCTGGGGTCGGGTCCGCGCGGGGCTCAGCCCCGCTGTCGGGAAAGGAGGGTTTCTTACACGTGATCGGGGGGGGGGGGGGGCTTAGGGAATGAATTGGTGATGACAGGAAACTTTTTCCTCTTGAAAACCGGTTCTTTGAACGCTGAATTGTATTTGGCAGTAGTCAATAATTGTAAAAACTTTCCCTCCTTTCATTTTTAACAGCTGATGTTGTCTTTACTTGTTTTCCAGAAAATAGCACCATTGTCTCTGTGTCCTGCAGCCGTCAAGACTTTAAGAGGACTGATTTCTAGTCTTTGGTAACATGGCAAAAGATGTAAGTATGTTTGTAGCACATCATAGGTGGAAGCATAGCTCATAGAGTATCTTTGTTTCTGTTAACAAAAGCAAGCGAGGTCATTCTTTATAATAGCTGGCATTAATGAATATATGAAACTTTACACTGTACGTCAAGCCTAGGCTGTGTTTTTCTGTAGATGCAAAAGCATAAACTGGCTTCAGATCTGCAGCCATTTATTCAGAGTAATTAATATTAAGAATTCACTATGTTCCTAAAAGTACTTGGGCTTTTGGTGTCATGTGCATTCATACTGAACACTAAACTTGGTTTTGAATTGATTTAAAAAAAAACAGCAAATACTATTCAGATGACAGATTTGTCATTGGCTGTTGTAGTCAGCTAGCATTTACCTTCTTGAGTTCAAGGAGGCATCATCTGTATTCAAGGGAGTGAAGATGGTTCAGTCTCTGTAAATGTTTATTGTTTATCTACCAAAAGATGCTAGTTAGTGTATGTGAAAACAGGCTTGTATTTACTCTTTACTCTTTATAATACTTCTAAACAAAATTTAAACAGGTTCTGCCTTTAAGATGTAATTCATTGTTAATACCTAATAAAATGGGGCTTTCACATTTCCGTATTGAAAATAAGACAAGATGTTGCTCCATATTCAAATTCGCATGTATATCCCCTTCAGAGAAAAAAAACAAACCTCAAAAAAATAAGAGCATATAAGCTAATAAAAAGTGACACAATTCAAATTCTTAACCAGCAGGTTACAATCTAATATGACTGTGTTAGCTTTCATATAGCGAGCACTCCCATGAAATAGTGATCGGTTTAACAAACTAACCTTGTAGAGAGTTGTAGTAGTTCAGAAGCAATTGAAAAACATCTTAATGCGCAGAGAAGTAACCAGAAATGCGTAGTTGCTCAGAGCTTGCCTGGAAGAGATAAGAGTGGCCAAGTACGTTGCAGATAGCAGAGTTCAGGGAATGAAAGGCCATATAAGTGGGAAGAAAATGAAAGGGGAATGCTAAACTAGATGAAATTGAAACAGTTCAAATTAATTGAGCTACTCAAGTGCAGTTGTTTAATATTAGCTTTTGGGGGAGAAATCAAGTAAGTGAAGAAGTACTAGCACCTGAATACTGGTGAATATCTTGAGAGGTCTAGGGGAGCAGAATGAGAATAAGACGTTTAAGAACAAGCCTCATTTTTGAAAGACGTAGGTTATTGTAGAAAAGGGAGGAATGATGTATGATAATAAACTTCAGAAATGGAAGAAGATGCTACAGATAGGAAAAGAAAATGTTTTCAGTGTCTTTATTGCAAGAATTAATCATTTCAGTGTCATTATTGCAAGAATTTGGAAAAACGAAAATCTAGGTCAGGTTTTAGGTAAAATTTTCAATGTACTTGAGCACCCAATTAGGGTGGCTAGAAAGGGTATGCAATCTTAAGTGAAGGATTGTCTAACCTGTTCTTAAAAACCTCTATACGTACTTAATCCTGCCTCAGGGAGGAAAGATGAACTGCTTAGCTTTTTGCAGACTATTACATACCCCACCATTACATGATGTCTAAAACGTGTAGTGAATGCTGGGAAATGTTAAATTTCCAGGTCTGATTATGGGTCCTGTTAAGTTTGGTTTAATGCTGGAAAATAGAGATGCTATTTAGTATAGCTCTTTTTCAGAAGAGAATAGAATTATTCCTATATTTTTTGTCCAAAATCCAAGTTCTTTTCCAAGGTAAATAGTGGCATTAATCATGATAGAGACAGTATCACTGTATCACTGAATTTCTGGGTAGTGAATCCATGAAGACCTGCACCACTGTAAATTTAAACATTCTGACATGGAAATATGGCTGTGATGAATGGCTCGTAGTTCTGCCATGTCACCTATCAAGTGCACTAACTGACTGTGAGATGTAGTGGTGAAGAAGATGGCATAGTTGATGACTGCCCCCACCCCTTCCTTCCCTTTTTCTCAGCAGAGCTGAGATGGCTAAACTGTGGTAAGGACCGTGCTGTTACTATGCTATGTCTGGGTTTCAGGTGGCATTTACATGGCCAAACATGCTTCAGTGTGCTCCAGCCTTGGAACACAGGCTTGGTGCATGTCCTGCTCTTGTGCTGCTGGGGCCTGTGCTTGCTCTGGCGTGGGTGCAGCAGGCAGCTCTGCAGAAGAGGAAAGTGTGGAGCCAGGGCACCAGGAGGGAGCATGCTCTTCCTTAACCTCTCCTCCCACCTGCCACAGGAGAGATCACTTTCCCTTTTGTTGCTCTCTTCCAGCTCTTCTTATACCTCTTTACAAAAACTCTAATTTGAAAAGATTTCTTTGAAAAGTCAAATACTTGTAAAAGTTTGCAGACTAAGACTTTACTGGGTAACTGAACAAACGGGGAGCATGATGGAGAATACCAGTAAACTCAGATGTTTTTATAAAGGGTTAAATAATTGCAAAGGTACAACAGATGGCAAGATAATGCTCATCAGCTATTTGACCCAAGTCTAAATTCTGTTAAATATTACTTTAAAATGTATTCCTCTAATGCTTTTCAGAGCGTACAATAAAAAGAAATAAGCAGCAAAGCATTTTTTTTAATTTTTTTTTTAATTTTATTTTTTGCAAAATACTCCCATTTTCTCAGCAGTGGTCAGGGAGCTATTGGGGGCAGGGGGAAAGATACCTTCATATGGAGCACCTTAATTAAGAGCCTGGAGGTGGAGTTTTAAGAGCATAATCAGAAGTAATGTTATAGCAGGGTAAGTTGAAAAGTAATAATGCAAAAAAAAATACTAGCTGGTGAGGGTTAAAGTAACTGGGGGTATATCAATATATTTAAAAAACCACAAACCTTTTATAAAAAGTATAGGGTATCTGGAATGCAGTAAATGTAAAGGAAAAAAGAGAAGCATATTGTGGCCTGGTAATAGCAATAAGCATAACAATTTTTTAGTTTTATGCAAATGATCATTGTGTGGTGGAGCTGAGAAGCAGTTCTAACAGAATCAGGCCGATTGGCCATAGAGTATCATTCATTCAGTTCAGAAGACCTTCATTACTTCATTAGAAGACTACCTTTTGTGTAATTTAAAGAAACAATGGGAAAAAACACGTGGACAAGAGAACACCAATTACAGTATCTCAAGGACTTGATTCCACTTGGGAGTGGGATCATTCTATTGCTTGTCAGAGGCTGAATGACAAATGAGGTTGAGGTCAGTGGAATTTGGTACAGTTTGGCACGTACATTTGCACTGTGTGGGAAGTTTCTTGGTCTGAGACAGAGGGGGTCATCACATGCAGACAATCTCCAGAAACTCCATCTTAGCCATCCTCTCTGGTTAATCAGTGTCATTTGCTAAGACTGCTGAGTCTACTGTAAACTCTTTCACTGCTTACAAATGTGGCACCTTCCAGACAGGAGCTGGAGGAGCGGAGCCAGATGTACGCACTGAGGTCCTCAGCTGACGTTTGCTGCTCATTGGATTCATGGGATTAATAGTTTGGTGGGGAGTGCAGTTCTCTAGGTGGAACTGTGACCTGTCCATCCTTGGCATGCTTAAAATTAGGCAGGAGGCAGCATCAAAAGGAGGAGCAGGAATTATCGTAGCAAGAAGGTAAATTTGGTAACTTCCTTTTTTTATCTTTCAGTTCCCGCTCTAAGATTGAGGAATATTTGCTGGCCACTCTTATATTCTGTTATGTATTGAGAATTATCAGTAAATTAAGGCCGCAAATACTTTCTAGTATCAATGGTTAACATACCTTCCATCACTAAATTAAGAACTCCTGCAGTGTAGCTGAAGATCCAACTTGTGCTCTGACTGTGTTTTGCCTCTCAGGTACTTCTGTTGCAAATGGACTGTTGAGGCTTCTTAAGCAGCCGTAAAGAAGGAGAAGCTTGTGGGTCTTTAAGAGCCACTGTTTAGGTAGAAGAGAAGAAGCAGGAGTCGCTTGCAGGAACTGGGCCTGTTACACGGGGTAGTCCAGTGCATGGTGTTACTGCGTGTACTGAGGAGAAAGGGGCTAGACAAAAGGAATGAGTAGGATTCCTTCTGATCTCAATAATTGCATATATCAAAATAGGTGAATTACACAAACAAAATACTGTCTGTAGTAGCAGTTGCTTATGATCGTTTCAGTTGTTCACCAGCATTGCATTGACTGTTTCCAGTCATTTAAAAAATATATAATTGTTCATGAAGAACAGGCAGTTGAAAAACTAATTTGGTGTTTCATGAACTTCTTAAAGTGACATACCACTGTTAGTCTTCAGAGTTTCTCACAGACTGAAATATCTTTCTTGAGAGCAGTTCTTCTGGAAAGCTCGTGCATTTTAGTGTTTCATAGGTTGCTGACCATGGCACTGGCTTTTGAACTGTTCTTTCTAGAATTAGATTATAATTATTTTTTTAATTATAGTTTACTGACGTCTTTTACTTGAATTACATAATGAAGGATTTTTCCCTTCATCTCTACCTTGCATAAAACTTACTTTATCTCTTCAGTATTTCCTGGTGCTTTTATTAATCTTACTGAGTAGCAGCTATGACCCAGGTATCTAACTTTGTAAAGAAAGCAGTGTGCACATGTGTAAATCTGAGGGATACCATGTAAGAAGTGCTGCCTGAACAAAGTTCAGGACCTGATCTAACATTACTGTGTAAGAGGCCTAGAGATATAGGGATTAAGGTTGATGGTTTATTTTAATTGAGTATTTGGAGTACATTTGGGTATGTAGTTCAATCCAGTTACATTATTTTACAGTATTAATAAATATTTCACTCAAAGGATATTCAAAACCCCACAGCAAATTGATTTCTTACCTCAGCTTTACTGGATAGGTTTGCTAAATCTGGGGGAAAAAGCTCTGCACTTCTGCATATTAATTTTCTGAGAACACCACCAAAGTTATACTTAATAACTTTCCTGTGGTGCTTCTACATCAACCTTGAGCAAGTCTTTGTGGTCTGAAAAGTTACATTTGGGATGGATTAAAAAAAAAGCCTAATGGAAGTAGGA